GAAATTATTCACCCTTTGCCGTAGCTCCAGCCGGAAACGGAGCTATCTATGGCATCAGTGTATCGGGAATCGCTTTCATTTATTTCCTTTTCAGGACTCTGAGCCTCTCGCTCTGCGGTCGCCCACTTGCACCTGGTCGTGCTCTTGCCACTTTGCCACCTGGCCACCAAAGAGGACATGACCATCGGCGTTGCCAACTAAGCGATTTATAAACGATTTGCCAAACTTCGTTTCGACCTTTTCGGGGCTTTTGCGGCTCGGTCCTGTCCCCTGTCTCCTATCCCTTCGGCCTCATCCACCTGCGGTTGAGTGTTAAGTGTTTTTTCCAATTCTGTATTTTTTTTTTTTCGGGCTGAGGCTGGGAGTAGGCCAAATATTTGCTAATGAGTTCTGCTGTCCTATTTATATATGTATGCCGTGCCGGGGCGAGCATTTGTGACCTTTTCGGGACATCGGAATATATAATATTTACCTATGCAAATGAGAATTTTCGGTTTGGCTCGGTCTGTACGTATTGATTTTCAAGGATTGTTGAGTTTGGGTTACTTCCTTTGGTTATTTGAATAACGAGATATGAAAATGTTTGAGAACACATCGATTTAAGGTTATAAATTTGTGGATTTCAAGGAGAAACATTTTTAAACAATTTAGAAACAGAAGTAAATAGAAGTTCAGAGTTTCAGCAAGTTTTAAAAAGTTTTAATTGTAAGATATCATATTTTGCTCATTAAAAGTTGCTCAAAAAAAAGATTACAATTTATAAATTCACAGAAACTTTATTATTTTTAATTAATTTGTATTATATTTCGCTTAATTAGTAATTTTAAACAGTTTATTGGTAGCGAAACTCTTTCATTGAAATAATCTTTGCACTTTTATATTTCTTTTTCATCGGAAAACCATGTTTTTAAATGTCCTTTCCCCCTCGGGCAAGCTTTAAATGTCTTGTGTAATTGTCGTTGTCCGTCAGAAGCCCTTATTTTTTTTTTATGTTATTGCTATTTGGCTCTGTGATTGTTTCCGGCCGAGCGACAAAACACGAATTGCAAATTTCAGCCACGCATCAATGATAGCTCGTCATTGGAATTCAATTTGCATTGTTCATGGGCGCTGGCCAATCCGCCGACAAATGGCCGCAATGCTGGTCAGGATAGGGGATGGGGGTGAGAGAAGGAGGTGGAGATGGTGGTGGACCAGAAGCAGTAGGTCCTGTAAAATGGCACTGATAGGTGGTGCCGGGTTTTCGTCTTTTGGCCTGTTTGTGGTTCTGTTTGCGGTTTCATCGGTGGCCCATGGCTATCAATTTACATCAACGCAGGAATATATATATATATTATATATTAATATCTGTTTATATGTCATATCTGCATATATATATTTCCTTAATGTGACTGTAACAGATTTCATTTATGTATGAATATTGTGTAATTAATTTTAATCACTGTTCGTCTCAGGCCTCATAATTGCTTTTATATATACGACTATTTTTTATCTGCTAATTGTTGAATTTTTCTGATTTATACATTATCTAAAGTTGTTTTTTCTATATACAAATTAAACTGCTTTGGCAGAGAAATTAAAGAGTGACATATCCTATTTTTTAGACTTTGACAGCTTGTGTTTGAATATGAAAATTATAAATTACTCACTTTACAAGCCATTATAAGCTAATGAGATATTGGTAATTAGGTCATGTCAAAGTGTTTTAGGTGAGGGAAATTAAATATTAAAACTAATGCAGAAACCTAATGAGTTTTTATAGCTAAGGTTTACTTATGCTTATATAATTTTTATTGTCATGTTGATACTTTTCCTACCAACTTCCAAGACTTTTTCTTTTCCATTTCTTAAATATTTAATAATCTGTTTACAGGCCAAATATTTTCGAATTCCAATATGAAACTTTGCTTATTTTTAGCACATTGCTAAATGAATTTTTGATAACTTCTTTGGCAGGTGTTGCAGTGTTGGGAAATGCTTAAATGCTTGTCGGTCTTTCAACAGGCATGCAGGAAAATCCCATTGAGCCCGGAGGCATTTTCGGTCAGAGAAAATCGAATTCCCATGAAGGCGCTGCAAATTGATTTTTAATACAATTTAACCGCAGGCGTAAAAACCGCCCGAAAAATGGTACAGGCAAATGGTTTTTATATTCAAGTGCTTTTAAGTATATATGTGCATACTATATATACATATTTGCTGGATCCCCTCCCTGTTCGGGTGTTGTGTTTCTCGAGGATTTATCGCACTTGGTCTGCCTGCCTGACCGGCGCTTTGTTTGCGGCTCAGCTTTGGACTGACATGAAAATCCTGGCAACGCCATTGTCCAGGCCAAAGGAACAGGAGAAAAAAGTGAAATAGAAAAGGAAAAACTGCAGCCACATGTTGGAGTTGTCGCATTTTCCCCACCACACTTTTCGGCCATGTTTCTAATGTATTTCCCAGGGTAAAGGCCTTTTAAAGCTCCTTCACCCTCACACTTGAAAGCTTTTATTTTTATTTTCTGGATATTCCTAGCCCCTGGCCAACTGCTTGCTTTAATTGCATTTTTGTTGAGCCTGAAAATTGCATGTCATCTGTCACGACAGACATTCGCATTTGCCTAAGCCATATAAATGAGTTTGTTCTTTTCGAAGCGATAAGTTTGTCGGCGGAAATGCAGTTCAAGTTGCTCATTATGCGGATCAAATTAAGCCCAAAGTCACACAAAGGACGCGAAACGAGCAGAGTGAAAATCAAATTTTCCAATGCCCATTATTCGGTTATATTTAAGAGCTGCTTCTAAAAGTTTAACACAAAAATTAAGTTACAAAGCTAGGGTTGTTATGCCTTTTAAGCAAACTTAAAAACATACAAAATAATATGTTCAATATTTATTTAAATAAATAATAAAATTTATATAAAAAAGGTGATACTTTAAGAAAAAACATATTTAATTTCTAAAAACCCTGAGCAACACCCAAAATACAGCCAACAATAAGCCTTAAAATGTCCATTCTACAGCAGGATTATGCTCTTATATATACAGTTAGATCTCCCTTTTTACTTTATCATTATTTCCCTCTTAAGCCCAGCTTATCCAAGTCTCAACAGCCACCAAAAATCGTTTGCAAAAAAGAGGCAAAAGCAAAATAAATGCCAATCTATGGCGCTGGAAGAGGCGACCGCATTGCGGGTCCGGCAAATAATTAAATTTATTTCAACTTTGGTCGCTGCCAGCAGAAAGCGACCTAAGCCAGCAAATTTTTAATTTGCATAGGAAAAAAAGACAGCGACAAAAAAAGAGGAGAAAGTCGAAGAGAAGGTCGACGCGATTCACATTGACAACAACGGAATCGCAGGAAACGCGGGATTAGGGAGGGGACCACCGTCAGGATCTTCCCTGTTGTCCTGGCTCTCGTCAAGTGGCAATTAATCAGTTTGGCCAAGTGGAGGACACTCGACACTGCAGTGGGGAGCAGGAATTGGAATTTGTCTGACCATATTTATTTGTATTTTCTTTTGCCACTTCCGCTCATTTATATGGCTTCGATTTTTATGGCCCTTGGAGTGTTGCAGAAATGCTCTTCCCTATAGTTTATGGCGGTGCCCGGTCTCGCAGCGATTCCTTTTTTGTGGCATAAAAATATTTGAGGCCATAAATATGGTGCACGGAATTGGCCTAATTGAGTGTATTACATGTTGGCCAAGCCAAATATGGGCCATCCCGAGTGGAATAGTGCGGTGCCCTCTTGTGGGACCGCCCCCAGTGAGGGAAATTTATTTATTTTTCATTGCCTCATGCTGGCCGGATTTGTAAAGCGAATAAATTCGGCTCAGTGCCAAGGGTAGCTGAACTTTTATGTGATTTTTTGTTTGCCTTTTTTCCCTAACATTTATTTGAGGAAGGCCTGTTGAGGAAACCCCAGAATCCTTGTGATGTTTTTGCTGATTGATTCGGCAACACTTTTTCGCTGGCCTATTTACATCGTTTTTGGCTGGGAGACCACCAAAGGAGCGAGGAATTTCCCATGGCTCCTCTTGACCAACTGCTTTTCTTTCGGCCAAAGTTTGTCTTCTTGGCTCTTGGTCTTTTTCTACCCGGTTTGTTTTGTATTTCTTTACTTTCGGACAAGTAATAAATGAATATTGACAGGAGGCGGTCCTGCCATCAAACTTTCAGCCTGCCGACATAAAAACTTAACTAATCGCCCAGTTATCGACTTAATGCTCGATTTTTCTTGCCTTTCTTGTGCTAAAAAAATGGAGAACCGAGAAAGGACCTCTGACAGCCAGCACATACACACACACGAGTCTAAGTGGCACTTGACAGGACAAGGCGGCGGCGGTGGTGGTGACCTCGAAAAGGAATCAGGAGCCGATGGCGAGCCTTTGAACTGCAATCCAAGTCAAATGAAAAACTCGCCCGCAGGCGGAGTAGAAATGGCAAATGCTTGCCCCTTGGCCAGTCCAGGACAAAATAAAGAAAAACATGAAATGGAGAGGGAGGGAGGGAGTTTTCCAAGGACTATAAATAAAAATTTGCCCCCTATCGATTTTTCCTCTAAGAGCAGAAAGCAGCAGGCCAAAGTGAAACAGAGCCCATGAGTGTTTGTCTTTTGCTTGTTTGCCTTTAGTTTCGTTTTGTTTCGATTCTTGGCTCTTGATGTTTTCAGTCCGCCTCCTGTCTGCCGGCCATGCAGTGTCCTGTGCGGGGGGCAGGACCCATATAATGGAGAGAAATTGCCTTTTAATGAGTCGACAATTTCATCTGTGCCAGGCTCTTCAACTTTGACAAGCTTCAATTAATTTATTTTTTTGTTACTCTGATTCATGGACGTTTTGTGCTACTTCTTTTTTAAATATTTGTTAATTAAATGTCATTATTTTCTATTTAGCTGAGCACGAGCCGTGTGTTTTTTGAGGCATAGAATCACATAGGAACATACAATCAAGGAAATATATATTTTAAATATCTATGTTTGCCTAATAATATTATTTATAATATAAAATATAAACATTTAAGTATACACTTCACTGTCTGATTCTTCGGATTCGTCACTGCTTATATAACCATCAGCAGTGAGTGACTCCAATTGCAGATATAAATCGTTGTAGTAGTACACCTAAAAGAAAGAAAACAAAACAAATAATTATTGGGTTTGGGGACTTTCCCTACCTTAAGGTTTACCTGACGCAGGCGCTCAAAGTCCACCCAAATGCCTCGTAGCAGCAAATAGGGATACTTAGTAGCATCACGAACAGATCTTAGAGTATTTACGAGCTCCCTGACTTTAATTTTCGTTATGTAGCCATAATATCGAAAGAGGGAAAACGTTTTTAATTTGATGCATTTCATACAAATCAAGTTAATGTAATCAACTTCATTTTCGTTTGCAAAGTGAGTTGACGTTACCTCCAAGATTTCCAGATTCTTTGCCAATATCAGATACTTGAACCATTCATTCGAAGCCAGGCCAACAGTAAGTCGTGTTAGCGTTTTTATATTAACCACAGCAGCTATTTCATAGTTGTCCAGATCTTTGCCGTGCACAACCAAACATTCAAGATACGGTAATTCTCTGAGTTCCCTCAGTATCTCCCACATCTCTATTCCGTGGATATTGTGCAATATGAGCTCCTTTAGATTCCTTAGGAGACCAACACTCTCAATGTCTTGCATATGGTAGACAAAGCAATCCAGATATTGCAGTTCTTCGAATTGAGACATAAGCTTAAAGTCCTGAGAGGGAAATGTTATTTTGCGTGTTCTTTGGGGGGCTTCTAAGGCCAGAGTCCTGCATAGATTCTCCACAGCTGGAATTGAGTATAAGAGGTGTATATCCAACCACCGCAATCTTGGAAGCTTGGTCAATAGGTTGAGGTTTAAGGGTGTTGAAGTCTCGTACAACTCGGTTAGAAATCTAACCTGGGTGTCTAAGCCAACTTCTTGGGAAATAAATGGCAGGGCTTTAGTGTAGATGCGGTGCTGAAAAACATCTGAGCCCCTCGGCGGCAACTGGCACTTTTGACAATAGCGAACGTATTGGTTTCCTGCTCTATGGCTCGGTGAGTGTTGCCAGTTCTGTCTATCAGGTAACCCCAGTTGTAAGCCCGACAAGGACTCAATTCTCGCAACCTCGATAACCTCTTCGAAAGTGAGTACTGTTCTCTCCACAATGAGACATGTTAGTGTTTGATCCTGTTTAGAGGCCAAGGCTTTGAACAGATCCCTCAACCGTCCCATTGGATGAACGTTAATGTTGAGCAGCTGAAGCTGATTCATTGTGGCCAGATGGTCAATGAATCTGGAACAAAAGAAACCGCACTCGAGCTCTTTAAGGCTACGAATTTTCGCCACCTCTGCGACTTCTTCTGGGCCAAGGAATGGCACTCGTAAATATTCCAGAATGTGTGTTTCCATCGAGGCAAAGCTTTTAAAAAGCGCCTTTAGGGATCCGTTACCGGAGGAGTTCCCGATTATAAGACTCGTTAGGTTTCTTAAATTAACCAAAGGTGTAAAAATTCTCGCATCGATAGAGACATCCTTTTCGAAAAAGTCCAGAACGACAGTCCATATTTCGGGCACTTCGAGATTTAGCACACGAACTTCGCAGTGTTCGGTTCGGATGCGATCCATTCGCCTGAAAACCCATTCTCTGCTATTGAGATGCTGTAGTTTCACTGCAATTATCTGCTCCAATTGATGCAAGTAGCATCGGATGTAGGTAATGGAGGGAAAGGCACCCAAAGTGTCGATTACGTTTTGGGTAATTGGCATATCTTTTGAAAGTTCTAGTTTCGAAACTTCCAGAAGACCCGATTTGGAATAATTTTCAGCCAATAGGCCTATCTCATCCATCGTAATCCAAGCCTCTACGTAATATTGAAGAGCATGTGCGAGGATACCCCAATCTAGTTCATCATTTCCAGGTGACAATCTAGCAATTTCTCTTGCAGTCTCAGGTGAATCGATTTTCCTACTTCTGACAACAGCACGCATGCGATATACTACCGTTTCCAAGTCCATCTGAGTGGTTCGGTTTAGTGGAAACGATAAGTAAGTTTTCTTCAAATTTTTGGGCTCATAAAAAAGGCCTTGAAGTATATAAGTATCTTTGGGGCAGCATTTGAGTGAAGTCAATGATAAAATCTCTGACAGCGCATATTGCTCTTCCATGGTGATATATACATTCGGAATGCTTATCTGCTGGATTGAGGTTTCTTTCAGACCTCGGAAAAGCTTCAGTAGGGAACCCTCAATGGGTTCCCCTAAGAGAGTTAAGTCCTTCAGTTTTGGCAGCTGGGCAAGGGGTGCATACTCTGCGGCATCTAGGTCCTCCTTCATCGAAATTGTCAGGTATTCCAGGTGATTGCAATACGGAACGATGTCAGACAATCTGCCAGATATTTCGGCACTGGTTAATTTAAGTCGGCGTAAGTTAGGACTTCCTTGACACAACTGGATCAGGTCATTCACATCCATTCGGGCGTCCAGTTGCAGGGTCTTCAGACCTTTGATTTCCACATATTCAAAACTGTAGCCTATGAAACAACCACTATTTCCACTCAAATACAAATTAATATTTGAGTCTACTTACCTCTCATGGTAATGTCAAGCTTCCGCAGAGTCTTTTTCTCCTTCAGGGCATCCAGAAGAGCCTCGAATCTGTCCAAGTGTTGCGGATAGTACTGCGATGGCTTGTAAGTCACTTTCACCGCTTCCAACTCGTCGTTCTCCCTGATGGCATTTAGGTAGGCAGACCAGAATAATTTCTGTTCCCTCGGGGACTGCTTTTGCATGAACTTATATAGACTCGATAGGTTCACATTTATCAGTGGGGCTCTATTCGAGAAGTCCAGCGTTAGCCTCAGCTCTTCGTACAGTTCGGGGTCCCATTCCCTGAATACTTTGGTCAAGGTTTCGCAGCTGATGGCAAAGTTCATGAGATCCAGGTACTGCCCCACGGTATCCTTGGCGTTATGGGCATTCTCGCAGTTTATTTTAATCCTACGAAATATATTGTACAAACAAAAGCAGTTTAGGCTCAAAATGTTTGGTTCACGGGAACTATCGCCCATGGCTTCTGCTGTGGCACGACCTATCAAAGCGAAAGTATAATTCTGACTAACAGGCAATACGCGAAATATGGCCTTATCAACTGTTTGTATTTCTTTTATATTGGGTATAGATATCCGTATTGATAAGCGCTCGTTCTTAGTTCGCACTCTTTATGCTCTTTGAAAAATAATAACAAAGGTTAAGAGAATGGCAAAATTAAGAAACTCTTTGATAATTACATTTAAAAATGAGCTAAAAATAAATTACTATGCCAGCAACAATGAGTTTATTATTTAACCAAATAAGATCCTTAATACCCGTTGATTGTTGTAAATTGACATTTATATTTATACTTTAAATTTTTAAAATTTTATCAATGTTTATACCCCTCTAAATTCAAAACTAAATTCAAGTTAGTTCCGCTCACTTGTACAATGAAATCAGCCGATTTCCATGGGCGGACTACCACCCACTTTTTTTTTTGGTGGGCGTGACGGTGCATCATAAATATGCGTGCATATGCATACACAGGCTAACAGGAAGCAAATGCCTTTTTCTGAGTGTGTGTGTGTATGTCTGCTCCATTTGCTTTACGACTCCATTTTGTGAGCTTTTCATTTCCATTTCCCTCGTTTTTTGTTTTGTTTGCTCCCTTTTCCGTGTCGCCCCCTTTCAATTTGTTTTACTTTGCTTGCCATGTTTGAGCGATTTATGGAGGCTGGACAACTGGAGGAGCAACAAATAAAAAGAAAAGAAAAAATTGTGAAAAACAGAGGGCCATGGAAATGTGTTCCACTTGCTGCGATAGATAAACGTCCTTCCTGCCAGCCTACAAATTGTTTTCCCTATCGATTCACCCCTAAACTTTAAAGTATTCAAGGTCGTCGAATGGGGGACTATATGAAATCCATTAGTGGGTTAACCAAAGGCTCATATACATATACGTTTATATAGACGATATAGACTTGGATGTGCCTGAGAAGGCTGCTGGTCTTGGCGCAGAGTTGAAAGTTCATTAGTAAGCCATAAAGTAGGCTATAAATTCTAGCGGGCCACACATGCACACATACATATGTGATAAGCATCCGCCCACTAACACTTACATCTTTGCGGAATGGCTCATTATCAACACGCAGCCAGAGCGAGCTAGGTACAGTGGCCGAAAGAGGCGGAGCGACAATCTGCTAAGCTCTAAGCCAAAGGATCTAGCAGCTGGCGCCCGCAACAACAGTTTGAGTGGCTGTTTCCTTTTCGCCAACTACTGGGTTGATGGTTACACTGGAGAAAAATAAATTTAAACAATAAATAAGAAACCCTTTCTTATTTATTTCATTTTCATTTTAGGTTGAAAGTATGACTAACCATCAAAGTAATTCAAAGAGATACTAGACTATAAAATCAGAAACTGTTGAGACCCATTTTCCTTGATTTTTCTCACTATACTCAAGTGTGTTAATGTGGGTGTGGCACACCTCCAGGCGCTAACCGAACCGCATATCCACATTTAAATTATGCAAGTCCTTGTCTAGGCCGTTCCATTACATCTGTCTGTGAGTTCGTTGGTTTGTTTGCTTAGCCGCCCGTGTCTTTGACCCAGAAGCACACATTTCGTCGCTGCCACAGTCGCGTTTTATGTTCTGCTCCATATAAACATATATATATATATATATGTATATATAGTATATGTACATGTGCCTATCTATAGAATCGCATACCTGAGCCTGAGCATAGAGCACACATTGCGAGTGGCTCAGGTTGTCGTGTTTGTCAATTTGGGCAGTGCCTGCAAACGATTTTTATTTGGGTCTGCTGCTGTTTATTTGTTTAAATTTAACGCATCAACGTGCCTGCCCCCCGGGGGCTATTCCGCCCTGTTTGCTTTGCTATTATTTTCCATGGCAGGCTTTCGGTTTATTTTTTTCGGCTTTTGTATAGCAAAACAGATTGTATTCGGAGACTGCTCTCCAAAGGATACTCACATTTTTTTCCGTAATTTAGGCATGGACTTCAAAGTAAAAAAAAAGTAAATAATATTAATATAAAATGGTACTTACTTTTAATTATAAAATAATTTCAAATTTTGGTAGAAAAATATGTTATGTTTTCTTTATATATTTTTACTTATTTTTCATACAGCTAGATTAAGTGCTTTTTACTCTTTAAATGTAAAAAATTCTTCTTATTTTAAAGTGAAATTTTCAGATGTACTGAAATGTTTTTACTTTAATAAATTTATATATTTTCCTATTATGTTTGCTTTACTCGATTAAAGTTTAAATACAATTCATAAATTTATAGCTGAACTTTAGTCCGAAATCGATTTTCGGTAAATATTCCCTGGCCATTGCCTAGTATTCATAGATTTTCCATTTCAGCTCTGATTTTCACTTGGTTTTTTCTTCTTTTTTAAATTATTTTCTTTGCAGTTTCGGTTCATTTAATTTCAGCGTTTACCAAATATTTTCGTACACGGGCTTTTCTTTTTTCCACCGTTCATTTTCGCTTTTCTTTTTATACATATACATATATATTTTTTTTGGGTATTGCGAGGCTTGCCTTCAATTTTCATTCAATGCCATCGTGTCGCCGCACAAAGTTGTGCTTTCTTTTTAGAGCATTTTCTATTTTTCCTCTTTAGGTTTATTTTTCCAGGAGGCAGCTGGCAATCGCTTTACCCCTCAGGATCTGCGTTGCGTGAAATCGCATCAATTGTACAAACTTTGGGCGCGTTATTTAATTTGCCATTGAGGCCGTCCGCTCCATTTATCCGCCTGTGCAGCCGACGGCCGGTGGTCCCAGACAGGATGCGTAGCCGGACACGGCCGCCCTCGTTAATTGTTCGGCGGCCACCACCGGGCGAATACCAATATTTCCATGCAAGGATTTGAGACAAAAATTTAATTACAGTGGAATACGAAATACCGAAATCATTCCGACCTTGGCCAAATTCAATTCAATCAGCAGAAATTTCATTCCTTGAGACCCCCAACAACATGTCCCTTGGCACTTTTCTGGGGTGGCTTCGCAATCGGATGCGGACGAGGCCGGAGAGCCTCAGTCTCTGTCTCAGCATCAGCTTCAGCTTCGGCTTCAAGCTGTTCGACATGACCCAGTTCGATGCTGTTTGAATAATTGATCAGTTGCCGCTGCCTCGCTTGTTTTCTGGCAACGTCAACGGCCTGGTTGGGCCGGGTCGGGTCTGGTCTGGCCTGGCCTGGACTTTTGCGCCGGACTGGGTTTGGGTTGTAATTGAGCCGGCGGCTGGCTGTTGAATCCACCCAAGATGTGTGCGGCTGGCGAAAATCGGAAAAATGTCACGGAGCTTTAATTATTTTCTTAAAGTAATTGATAGTCTGTTGTGATAATATTGCCATTCCGCAAGGCAGCTGAGATCATGTCGTAGGGGTGGCTTAAGGCTGGTAGAGAATAAATACTTGAATTTGGGTTAACGTTAAAGAAAGTAAATTGTTTTATGAAAATTAAATACTTTTCTCAAAGGTGCTTAATATTTAAAGGTATTTATTAAAACACAAAACACAAAAGGAATAATTATTTTAAGTAAAATAATGTTTACTTTCTCTAGGAATTTATCTAACAAATATAATAATTCCCTAAATACAATTTCTTATATGCATTCCCTCATAATTTCTCCTGGCCTCCACTTAAAAATGTATAATTTTAAAACCATAATTACAGCTGCATCTTGTGTCCTTCTTTCCAACTCCTTAGGTCTTATCCCTGGAAACTTTGATGGCCTTTCGGAGAAAGCGTGTTGCATACGACTTGACCCTTAATTAATATCTTGAATTACGCAGGACAAGCATATAGTGCAGTGCGAAACTTTTTGTCAAGTACACACTTGGGCCATGGCAACTTAATTTGGTTGCAAGACCGGCACCCGTTGAACTTTGGCCAAGTTGTAACGAGGCAACTCCTCCTCTGCCTCCGCCGCATATGAGTTGTGATCATTTAGTTAACTTCAAGGCTGATGAAATTTAAATTTGAAACTTTACTCATTTAATATTGATTTAATGATGTTGTTCTTGGCAGGAACTTTTTCAACTTCGGCCCAGCCGAATTTTCTCTTTGAGTTGTCGGTTGCTTGTTTCGTATGTATATTTTTGTTCAGACTAGACGGGGAGTAAATAAGAAACCGCTAGCAAGATGCGGGTTTAATAAGCGGGCTGTGGCTGCCGGCAAAAATATTTCCATTAAACTTTAATAGGTCTTGCCAAAAATTATAGTGTTTTAAGGTCAAATCAAAACGAAGAGATTACATCCCAATCAGGCTTAAGTAAGTTCGTTGCAAACATATAAGAATATTGGCCCATATGCCTTTTTCCACCTCGGGGTCAAATTTGTTTGAGTTAAGAGCTGCTCAACCCGAAAACTTTTGGCCATTCGGCCATAATATTTAACCAAAAGTTTGGCCTCTATCATTGGATGACCTTTCGTGTTTTGGCAGCAGCATAATTTATGGCCAAAATTCTTATCGTTACCCTTGGCATATGTGTTAGCCACAGAAACTCATAAATAATTAATGGGTGAGAATAACCGAAAGCGATACAAGTTCAAGGCTATGCCGGAATATTTAAGCTAATTGTGAGGAGTGGTTAAGAGAAAAGCCCCTGACTGGGCCAGGCCAGGATAAGCAGAAAGCTAATTGGGCTGGGCGTGTGTTTCGAATGACATTATATAGAGACATGAATGTGGAATAGAAATAACAGGTTCTTGGTTTTGTTTAAATTTTAAAAATAAGCAGGAGGAGTATAAATATTTTTTTAACTGGGAATTTAGGAAGATAATATAGTGTAAAATACTAATAATAACTTCTTAAGATGTGTTCAGAAAACTCTAAGAAATATTTTAAATATTTTTTAATGATATCTAGAGAAACGTACATACTAGTGATTAAATTTAAATTACAATGTATATTTCACCCACTTAATTATTATATTTAAATTACAGTTTATACAACCGAAAGACGAAAACGTTGACATCCTCTGATGCGTGCAATATGCGAGTGGAAGCACACGATAATAATGACATTGCAACCGATGATGCCTGTAACTGTTGCATTGTTTCCTCTCCAATCGACAGGGAGAACAAAGGGATGCAACACTATCGCTGCTTGTTTGCTACAATTTAAACATTTGTTGTTTCCCAGTCCAGGCCAGAACGGTCTTTAGCACGTTTACATTGAATTAAACGCTGGAGGGCTGCAGATAGCAACGAGGAGGGAACAAAAACAAGTGCAAGTGCAGTGGAACATGGCCAGCAGAAAATCAACAGAGGGACTACAACAACTACGGCTACATTGTTGCAGGAGGAGCCGCCCGGTTTGGGTCCCGGTCCAGAAACATGGATCCAGATCCCCGAATCGAGAGGAGAGCCGGCGGCGGAGCCGGAAAGTGAAACAAGCTCAGCTGAAGTGAAAGAAAAACAGACAACAGTCAACGAAACAATGGCAACAATTCTGATATTACTCGTACTTTGTTCTCGTATTGTTCAGCGAGTTTCGAGCATATTATTTATTATTATTTCGGGCCCTCGCTCTTATATATATATAGGTATATATATACAGCGTGCACTTCCCCACCGATATGCTAATTGAAATGTGAAAACGAGAAAAGAAATTCTCAAGAATCCTTATCGTGGCGGAAGGAAACAAAAGGAGCTCCTTGCTCCAGAAAAGCTGAATGAAAATGAGCACGCGGGCTCTCAATAAATTGAGTTAACCAGAGGCGAAATCTTAATGAATTGAATTAAATGTGAGATGGTTAATTTATTGAGTCGTAATCTGGATATAAATAAGGCCACAAATTTATAGTTTTTTCCAATGATAAAAATACATAATAAATATAATAATGTATATTTAAATATTAAGTATTTGTATCTGTATTTATTATGTTCGTTATAAGAATTTGTTTCTGTTTTTAGTAATTGAACTAGAATTTCTTAACTCATAAGGTTTCTACAACAATAAACTTTATTGTAAATTAATATATTTATTATTAGCACATCGATTAACAGGTAATTATCTTATTTTTATTGAATTCTCAATTTTCCGTTCCAGAAATGATACATTTTCTGGACCCTGGCTCTTTGGTGAGTGCCGCGCTTGCTACAAAGCACCGTTGAAGGGCCCTTAAATATTTTATCACAACGCGTGTGTCCGCACATTATTCATTAAAATTTGCTTCATCAACGGCAAGGAGGAGCAGAATGGTACGGTACGGTCCTGGCCAGCGAAAAAGCCGAGTCAGAGTCAGATCGCGAAATTGAAGCAAACGAGGCAGCAGTAAAAACTTCCAATTACTCAGGCGCATCGTCCATTCCGGCGGCATAAAAAAGGATACGGTACGCGAGTGCAGCATGTACACATGTACCCATACAGATGTACAAACATGGGGGGCAGGGAGATGGGGGTATCTGTGTGCTTTTAATATCCTTTTCTTTGAATAATTCATGCACACAGCCCCTGACCAGGCCCTCGCCCGAAACTCTTCAGCGGCAATCAGATGAGTTGACGAGGGCCGCCCGGAAGGGTTGGCATTCATTCATACCAAAGGCAAACTTATTAATTGGCACTTGAGCTGTGGTAACCACAGGCTCGTCATTGCCAGTCCAGTCCAGTCGAATCCCCCTTTCCCCCTTTCACGTACTCGCACTCGGAGTACGGAGCCCCACATCGCCCCACGTCATTCAACTCTTTTGAGCGGGCATAATTTAACAGCGTTTTTTTTTGTCCTTTCCCCCGGCGCGTTTGTCAACTGAACGCTGGACAAGCACCCCATTGGATATTGCTGGTAATCCACTCGAACAACAACAACAGCGGCGACAACATCGCTGGGTTTTTGACCACGAGGGACGATGGCGGTGAGGACATGGTCTGAAGGGCCCTGAAAATACCCAGCAGCCAAGGGAATTAAATCGGATAGGTATCGAAATTATGCGACCCTGTAAATGCCATCAGAACTGATTTGCAGAAACGGAAAAATAATTATAAAGCTTTAAAAATATTTTCTTTACTTGGAAAGTGATTTTTATCTGGAAACTTTTGAATTTGTACGTCACTTTCTATTCCAAAATCTCCTTAAAATATTATTTTATACAAAATACATAATATTTCTGCTTATAATATGTACATCCTGGTTCAGAAACCTCTTTTCTCTCCTCTCCTTGCGAATTACTTTTGCATAAAATAACTTTCCAGCCAACAAAGGGGGCGTCATCCTGGGACTTTAGTGCCGTAGACATCCGCCGCCTTCGCCTTTCACAGGGTATATGTTAAAATTTGACTGACAGCGCGACACATGAGACAACCTCATATCCTCAGTCTCAGGCTCGGCGCCATTGTCACGTTTCAACATTTAAATTAAAATGTTTCGGCTAAAGGACGAGACGGTGGAGCTGCGAGAATTTCCTTGCGTTCAGTGGAGAGCAAAACCGCAGTGAACAAAAAATCTCAGGCATATCCATTTAAATATGGCCCAGCGAAAAAAAGCCAAAAATAAGGGGGAAAAAAAACGAACATGGCAATGTTAAAAAATGCCTTGGTTGCGCTTTTTTCGCGCTGGTCGCTGTCTTTTGCAGTTGGCGCTCTGCACTTGAGAGCCGCCTGGGCTGTTTGTGTTGCTGTTGCCGCTGAAGTTGCTGTTGTTGTTGATGATGGTCGAGGAGGTGGAGGTAGCCTTCATCCTCTATCCGCCAGTCGCCATTGCGAGTGGCAGCTTCGTTTTGACCATCGCCATTGCCGTCGCCTGCACTCGTCTTCATTTATTCAATGCCGCTTGGGCTGTGGGCCACACGGCGTATGCGTGCTCTGCGAAATTCCATACAAGAAACTTTTCCGTTTCGAAAAGCTGAAAAAAAGGCTCAACGGAAAACAAAAAGAGTATATTGGGGTGGTGGCACAGAACGAGCATGTTTTCTTCAGCTTTCCAACAGCTTGTACTTAAAGAGTTCAGTCGGGTTTTTGTGGCTTAAATCTGAGCAAGAAAAAAACAGTTGTCCTTTCAATCCCAGATTAGGATTTCGAATGCAAACAAAAATATGGGGAAAGAGATTTTCTGGTTTTATATAGATTTTAAACCTAAAAAAATACTTTGTTGATTTGTATTAAAAATGGATTATGGATCGAAAACTGTAATATTTGGTTAAATATAAATAAATATAATATAAACATATAAATATATATATAATTTGTTTAAAAAAAATAGTAGAGAATAATGCAGCCTTAATTTTAGGCTAAAAAATGCTTATTAAATCACTACAATCATTTTTCTACAAGATCTATAATAAATATCTTCAAAAAACACTTATCTTAGGTTTCCAGTCCACCTCCCACCCACTTAAATCCTCCCCGACTGCAGTGTCCTTGTCGAATTATGCACTTTCATTAAGTAACTGCAATCAGGCGCATAAGGATCCATTCGAGAGCAATCTGTTGGCTTGGCTGGCTGCCTTAACCTTGTGTCTGGCTGAGCGTGGCAAAATGCACTTTTAATTGGGCCGAGCGGCAACCGGCGAGGGAAATTGAAAAGAAGTGTAAATGGAAAATTATAATTAACATTGCCAGATGCCCATCGCCAATGCCATCGCTTTAATTGCAATTTCATAGCTAGCTGCAAGGTGAACTGAGCAGATCTAACATTGCGCATACGCCGTGTGTTTTCCATTAGTTGCCATAAATTATAGAAAATCAGGATTTATGCCCAAATTGTCACGTTCATGCGCCAAAATAGCACCTAGAGCCGGCATTGTAATTGATTAATGCGAGTCTCTCGCTGGCATGTTCAGCCAAAACACAACAAAAAAAAGGGCTCTGGAAATTTGCATATTTGAAATTATGACAATTACACGGAACTGTCAGAGTGCATATGCTTAATAATATTGACAATGTTATATTTTGAGGCAGCTTTAAAGAGCTCTTGTGCTTGGGTTTCCCTAAAGACAAGGGGGGAAATGGAAAATGTACACAGGAAATGTATTTGCTTACTAGACACATTTATGCAAATATATTTTAATTCAATTAAACAAGACGAGCAGCAAATAAAAGTCTGCCCTTCCTTAACCATTTTACAAATACAATATTTCATTGGTCTCACTTTTAGCTGACAGCATTATTGTTTTGCCGTATATCAAGATTTCAGATTTTATTTTCTCCCAAAACAAGTCCCAATATTGGCCCATAGAAATGTGAAATAACATATTTCAGAGCAGCTTTTGTGACTCTTATTTATTTTATTTTTATTTGTCCCTCTTAATTCTGCTTTTGTACATAATTTGATGGCAACATTTCCATTCAATTCGCACGACACGCACAGCATTTGTCTACACAACATATATTGCATTTCATTGACAGGCCTCCTTCTGTGCGTAGCAGCTGTCAGCTGCGAATGCGAATTCGAATAAATTGTATTTTTGCAAAACCGAATTCAATTACCTAATGATTTGTTTTACATGCAGCTTTTTGTTCGTCTTCCCAGTACAGAACACAGACGAGAGATGAGAGTTTAGGCAGCATCATTCAATTGCCGAAATTCACACGCACGAACAGTGCTGCAAATTAGTCAGTGGCCATGTCTGGTCTGGTTCCGTTTCTGTGGACACAGTCCAGCTGGTCTGGTCCATCATTCGACCCAAACATTTATTTGATTTGGCCAATATGACACACAGTGTCTGCCTCTCGGCCTGCCGGTGATGTTGATTGAGTGCATTTTATTCCGCAAATATTTGCTTTCAATAACAAATGTTGCCTTAGCTAATAAGTTAATTAATTCGTATTATATGTGGAATGGGAGGCCTTCCATCAATCAATTAAAAATCACAAGTGCCATAGGCTTTCCTCTTACTAATTTTGTTTAAATAAATGAATGGATTCCCCTGAAAAATATGTTTCATTAGTGAACTCAAAGTTCAATCACGCAGATTGAGTCATAAAATCCAAAAATTGGCTAATTTGTATATTAGTTTATTACGTGCTAATAACAAGTTCAACTTCCCATTGAACCGTTTTTGTAATTAAGTTTATGGTAAATAGATTGTGTCTCAATTTTTGGTCAATTAATTGTTACCAGATAAGAACTTGGATTACTCCCTATTTTTTCTAGGAAAAATGTGCCAAGATAACCTGGTAGACCAGCTTTTTAATGGTAATGTTGCTGTTAATTATGACTTTTATTTAAGAATAATAATTGGGGAAACTCTTAGGTCTATCTATATCAAATTCTTGTCCTTCATATTCATAATTACGTGTCTACATTAACGAATAGAGATTGTATTAGATGGCATCAGGTTTCCACAACTCAAGTGGCTTTCACAAGTGGTTACCTATAGCGTCAGTTAAGTATTGATTGGCATGGCGTTGCGTTCCCAACTATTTTATATTTACGGCCCCATTTATAATCGGCGGCCATAAAAGCCATAAAACCCTAATCTCCGCGATAACTTTCCCGTATAAGAAGGCACTGCGTCGGGCCAACGTTTGGCATTACGTCCTCTGAAACGTCGCGATGTGGAGCAACCGCTGCTCGTTTTTACTCCTGGCGCTGCTGATCGCCGGCAGTGCTGGAAAAGTGTACGGCAGATTGCCTAGAATCCTGCCGGAAGCCCTGGCCGAAGGCGATGAAGGTGTTGCAGTGCGCGGTGACTGTGAATTCAAGGTCAACGGTGACCTCAATGATCCCGCTCCGCTGTTTTCGCGTCACAACTCCTATGAAATCATCGTTCCCGATCCCACGGATACCGTGCGTCTGGTGAATGGCGAACTCTTGGATATGTTCTGTCCGGGAGTGGGATTTGCAGCTCCATTCGACAACCGCACACGAGTGACGGCCCAGTGTTTGCAAAACAAGTATTTCCTGGTTGATGATCTCATCTATCCGTTCAACAACTTCTCCTGCACCCAGTGGGCCACCTTTACGGCTCTTCGCACGGGACAAGACTGCAATGGCGGCACGGATCTTGTCAAGGTAGGCTTCGAGGTGGATGATGGCGGCTTCCTGCAGACCTACGAACTCTGCCACGATGCCGAGGCGGAGGCCACGCGATACGTCCACCATGTGCTATACCCCTCGAGCTATGACTATCAGCATGGAGTGGCGAGACCCAGTTTCATCGAACTGGACTTCTACGGCGGTCGGGATGTGAACACAAAGTACACTCAGGTGCAGCAGAACATCACCATCAGTGGAATACTCGGCATGGACGCCTCACCCTTCTTCAACTACTCAGATGATCGAATCCTGGCGCGTGGACACATGATTGCCAAGACGGACACGATCTTTGGCGCTGCACAGATGTCGACGTTCTTGTTTATCAACGTGGCTCCACAGTGGCAGACCTTCAACGGAGGCAACTGGGAGAAGGTGGAAACCAGCGTTCGAAAGTTCGTGGCCGATCGTAATCTCACCACTGATTGCTATACGGGCACTTACGGCGTGTCCACTCTGCCGGGCGTGGATGGCGTGGAGAGGGAGCTTTATCTTGACTTTGATGAAAACAATAATGGCTTGATTCCCGTCCCGAAGTTCTACTATCGCGTCGTAATCGATCGGGAGAGCCGGGAGGGCATCGTCCTCATTGGCATCAACAATCCCTACTTGACTCTGGAGGAGATCCTAAAGGACTATATTCTGTGCCAGGATATTGGCCATCAGCTGAGCTGGTTGAGTTGGTCCAAGGAGGATCTGCACGAGGGTTATAGCTACGCCTGCACTGTGGAGGATTTCACTAAGGTAGTGAAGGACTTGCCTCTGGATGATCTGTACACAAGCGGCGTCCTTGGGCTGGATGATGTGACCACAGTGGGTCCTACGAGTACCACGGAAGAACCTACAACGACTCCTACTCCCACCACAGTTCCTTCTACAACAGAGGAATCCACCACCGAGGAATCTACGACGGAATCAAGCTCATCGAGTGCTTTGCCCACCACTGTTTCATCCACAACTGAGGAACCCAGCTCCACGACGGAAGCACCCACTACCTCCACAGCTACTCCGACGGAGGAAACCACATCCTCCACTGCTACTCCCACTGAAGAGCCGAGCTCCTCTACAGCTACTCCCACTGAGGAACCCACTTCCTCTACTGCTACTCCCACTGAGGAACCCACTTCCTCCACTGCTGCTCCCACCGAGGAACCCACGTCCTCCACTGCTACTCCCACTGAAGAGCCGACTTCAACCTCTTCTAGTTCTTCCACAACTACAAGTCCCCCTGTAACCACATCCAGTCCCATTGCCAATCCCTGCAGGTTCAACATCAATGGCGACCTCAAGGATCCTGCTCCGCTTCTTACTCCCCAAGGAGCCCTTAGCTGGTTGCTGCCTGACGAAAGTGGCTTCTACACCGTGGAAGAAGGATCTTCCATTGACCTTCACTGCACTGGAGCTCTGGTTTCCCCCTTCAACCGCTATACCGCTCTGACAGCTCGATGTGTGGGTGATCAGTTGTACGAGGCAGAGGACCAGCGTGTTGGCATTCGCGTATTCGTGTGCCAGAGTTGGCCCACTTATGAGGCAGTGCGAACCGGAGAGATCTGCGAGGGCGGCACTGATCTCGTTCAGATCGGATTCGATGTGGCCGCCGGCCTGCTTACCCATCTGGAGATCTGCTACGACCAGCAGGAGCAGATTTCGCGATATGCTCGCTACGAACTGACCCCAGCCAATGTGGCCTATCAGCGGGGAGTGGCACAGCCGGGCTACCTTCGAGGGGACTTTTACACTGGCGAGGATGTCAACGTTCTTTATGGTCAATCGCGTCAGTTGGAGTCATTCAATGCCGCCCTGGGCTTGGATGCCAGTCAGTACTTCGATAGTTCCAAGGATCTCTACTTGACCCGTGGACAACTGGCAGCTCGCCAGGATTTCATCCACAGTTCCGCCCAGAGGGCTACGCACTTTTACATAAACGCTGTGCCCCAGTGGAGGAGCACCAACATTGGCAATTGGCTGGCTGTGGAGTCCAGTCTGCGGCAGTTTGTGGCGAACCAGGGGCTGAATGTCAGTGTCCATGCTGGCAGCTATGGCATCTCAACTTTACCCAATTCCCAAGGTGTCCAGACCGAGCTGTATCTGAACAGTGAAACCAAGCAGCTGCCGGTGCCTAAGATTCTCTACCGCCTGGTTATCGACCAGGATACTCGCAAGGGTGTGGTCCTCATAGTGGTAAATAATCCCCATCTTACCCTAGCCCAAACCCTGGATGACTATGTGGTTTGTGAGGATGTGGGTGCTCAGTTGGATTGGTTGGACTGGGACAAGACGGACATCTCGAAGGGCTACTCATATGCCTGCGCTGTGGATGACTTCATAAAGATAGTGAAGGACTTGCCGCTGGATCAACTGGAGACCACTGGCGTGCTGGGCCTCTCCAACCAGGATTTGCAGGATGAGGTGTGCAGCTTCCGGGTGAACGGAGGAGATCTGAAGGATCCAGCACCGCTATTTGTCGTACGAAGTGAATTGGGCATTGCCAGGTACTTGGAGCCCGATCAGGAAGGCGTGGTGCAGCTGAAACATGGAGAGTCCTTGGAGTTCCACTGCATCAAGCCCTTCACTGGCTCCTTTGCTGGCTACACATTCGTGAATTCCACCTGCTGGCAGCAGCAGAACTTCCTGGCCCTGGGCAGTCTTTACCAGCTCCAGGATTTTGTTTGCACCTCTTGGCCAACGTATACGGCTCGCCGCACCAATCGTCCCTGCAATGGAGGCACTGATCTCCTGGAAGTGGGCTTCCAGCTCTCGGCCACCTCCTCGGATGACTTCCTGCAGACCTACGATGTGTGCCACAATGAACTCTCGGAGGTCACGCGCTATGTGCATCACGTCCTCTATCCAGGAAGCGCTCAATACCAGCGATCGGTGTCCAGACCGACCTTTATACCAGGCGACTTTTACAATGGCAAGGATGTGAACACGATGTACACCCAAGTCCAGCAGAACATCACTGTCTCGGAGATCCTGGGCATGGATGCCTCGCACTACTTCAACATCAGCAGCAATGTCTACCTGGCCCGGGGTCACATGTCGGCCAAAACAGACTTTGTTTTCGGCGCCGCCCAGCAGGCCACCTTCTTCTTTGTGAACGTGGCTCCACAGTGGCAGACTTTCAATGGCGGCAACTGGGAGCGAGTGGAGGATAGCGTGAGGAAGCTCGTGGCTGACGAGAACATTACCGCGGACTGCTACACGGGCACGTGGGGTGTGTCCACCCTGCCGGATGTGAATGGTGTCGAGAGGGAGCTGTATCTGGACTTTGATGAGAATAACAATGGCTTGATTCCGGTTCCCAAGCTGTACTACCGCGTCGTCATTGATCGGGAGAGCAGAAAGGGAATCGTTTTGATTGGAGTAAACAATCCACATGCCGACTTGGAGCAAATCGCAAAGGAGTATCTTATCTGCGAGGATATAGGTGATCAATTGACTTGGGTCAGTTGGACCAAGGAGGATCTGGGTAAGGGCTATTCCTACGCCTGCACCGTGGAGGACTTTACTGCCGTGGTAAAGGATCTGCCACTGGACGATCTGGCCGTAGAGGGAGTGCTGGGCATTCAAGACTAGAATGTGCTATAAATAATGAATTTCCTTAATTTAAAACCAATAAAAATACAACCCACTTGCCGTATTGTTTTTCTTCTGCAAAAATACAAGGCTTTGAGGCACGTTTAAATTTAGTTGTTCGTGGCCATAAAACTTGGAAATCACGTTCGGTTTTTGTTCTTTTTGGAGTTTATTGCATGTTGGACATATTGATAAGAGTCAGGTTATCAAATGCCCGGCGTTATCGTTTATGGCCGGCACACAGCTATTTATTTGGCCTGCCATCGGACTGTTTGCTCACGTGCCGCACGTTTTCCAGTGCCGCTGGATTTTCCTCCCGCTGTTCCAGTGGCCCAAATGCCAGTCCCTTGGCCCCGAATCCGTATCCAAATCCCAAGTCGAAGTCCCCATGGCAGTGACTTTCACATTACTTATCGGGACAGCTTGTACGTATTGCCTGTGCCTGCGCGGTTTCTTTTGTTTATCTTATCGCAGCGCAATCGTCCCATCGCGTATTAAGTATACGCCAGCGTGGTTAATGATTGTAATGGACTTTTCAGGAGGTAAACAAGAGTCAACAAGAGGGGGAAGATAGAACAATCCACACGCATGTCTTGATTTATATTTGCTGAGTAATCTCTCAAGTGCTTGGGGCTATGGCGGGGTTAAATAATGTGTGCATATCTTTACTGTGTTTCGATTAATGAGAAGTATCAAGTATCAGGGTTAAGAATACATTGACTTTAAGCCTTGAACCTTTGAGTATACTTTATACTACATAATTTATTAACTTATAGTTAAGATTTAAACCAATGTTTATTGAAGCCTTGAACTTCATTAAGTTTTAATAACGCTTTACTTATTGATTCATCAACTTATAGTTCGGGTTTTAATCTTAGTTTATGTATGCCTTGAACTTCGTGAGTTCAAAGTTCTTTTCATTGACAAGTTTAATTCCATTAACCTACTGTTTCAGCATGAACTTTTAATGTCACATGTCTATATTATTTATATCATTCCAAAAAAGTGTGACTAATAGCGTAAATAACATTTAATTAAAATATAATGCGATTCTGCTGAATTAATTTAACTAATAATAATTAAAATCTCTTTTCAAGCGTGAAAATGAATATATAAAATAGAGGGCTTTAGCCGCACTGACTTTAGTTGATTTTACCATTTCAGACAAGGATGAAGCATATATTTAGAATATATCTGATCTTAGGAGCAGCATTCTGCACTCAAGGATACAAAAGTAAGTTGGCTGGAAAGGATTAAGGCCACTTGCTATATAAGTTCACTTCGTAGGATTTGGTCTGGATTGTGAGGATATTGCCTGTGAATTGGGCGAAAGATGCACTCTATCCCGGGTGCCATGCACTGGCCCAGACCAACAGGAAGGAGTACAATGTGGAGCTTACCCAGAGTGTCAAAAAGGTGCGTGACAGACTGTAATCCCAATCGATTTCATCTCTCATTCACATGGAAATCCGGCTTTTCTCACTGATCCCTTTCAGATCAGCTGGCCAGGGATTTCTCCATCGACACCACACTGACCATCGCCAACACCCGCAGTAGCATCATCATACCCAGCACCAGCACGAATCGCAATCGGACCGACACGAACACGGATACGGATACGGACTTTGAGCTGCTGACCGATTTGGGAAATCCGGATAATTCCGCCACGCACGCGGGCCAGACTCAGGCCAATGTCCTGGTGATTGTACAGGATGGGTCACAGCCTCAGCTTCAGCCGAATCCATGGCTAAATCGCAGACAGAATGTGCCCTGCACAGTCAATCCCCTCTATCCCTATGCCTGCAATTATCCGGGCTACGTGCCCAATACCGGCGTGGGATTACCCTCATATCCGCAGGCAAGGTCGGGCAATGGCCCCCAACTGGTTCCGCCCACGCCGCCCTGCTATTACAATTGCTATCCCAGAGTGGGGGCCAGTCCTTATGGACAATACAGGGGATATCCCCTGGCCAGGTCGGCCAATCCCTCATCCACCAATAACTATTTGCTTTACCTTACACTGTCGTCGGGATAATAGAATTTTATTTCAAATAACATATTTTCCTAGAAATAAAAGCAACAAAATAGTGTTTAATGGCTCGCTTGGTGCTATTTTTTTCTGTGTACTCACCAGCTCTGCACCGTTTCCGGCGATCGCCGCAAGTGCTGTACCAGCCGGTGGGAGTGCCGGCTCCTCTGCCGCCTCCAGGGTATCCACTACCACGTCCAATGCCCCGCCAGGCTGCGCCCCAATATCCTATGATCCAGCCTCAACCTAATCCACAATATGCGATCCAAGCTCAACCCAATCCTCAACTGTACTTTTCAGTGGGGATGTCCTATCCGTCGTATATGAGTTACAATAGTCGTTCGGCAGGAGGTCCTCCTTCGTCCTTTTATAGCCCTTTTTTACCCAACTATAATTCGTATTATTACAACATTAACTTACCCTTTTCGGGAGGATCCTCTTAGGATCTTAGTTAGTTTATGAAATTCTTTACTTGCACTTTCTGTTCACACATATTTTAAGAATATTTTTCACCTTTTGTTGTAATTTAACATTCCCCTTAAATAACCATTATTTCTGGGTTTTACAAAGACAGATCCCCCCGGCCAAAAACCAGAAACAGATCTTTCTCGAGCTTCTAATCGAACAACTCGTCAGATTCCCATGCCTCCAAGACCCATGCCAATGCCAGGACCTATGCCGATGCCTGGTGTCATGCGTGTGCCAGGCCCAGTGCCAGTTCCTATGAATGTGCCTCCAGTTCCGGGACGGGCCTATTACCCGCCGTATATGGGACAACCCATGCCAATGGCCGGACCAGTACGGGCTCCAATGCCCATGATGCCGATGGGGCCACAGCCTGGCGTTCCAGGTGTTCCCTTGGGGGGTGGAGGCTTAGGTGGAACTAGCATTATTGTGGAGCCTTTAGTTATCCTGCCCATGGGCATGGGTGCAGGCATTAATCCCAATCAATATTATGGATCCAATGGAGCTTATCCCAGCTACAACAATTATAATCCCTACAATACGTACACCACGGCACAGCCCTACTATGACTATAATAATTATAATAACAATAACTACAATAATTACAACAATTACAATAACTACAGTGGGAGTAATAACAATTACAATGACTACAACTCATACGGTTAAATGTTAAATTAAATGTTTACTCAAACTCTTTTCATAAAATATAATTAAATTAATTATGCATGAAAATAAATGTTATATGATTTAGCCGATAGAAATTTGTAATTATTCCAGCAATAAAAGTTCAAATCTGAGAGTATAAAGCCAGGCAAATGTCAAAAATAATTAATGAACAAGATGATCAAGGTATTTTATATACTATACTTATCACAAATAATAAAAATTGAGAAAAGATACTATTTATTTAAATCTTGCAAGGAAAGTTAAGATAACCTAGACCTGAATACACTTACTTATATCAGTCCGAAGAATTCGGAAGAACTTTTACACAACGCAGCCACAGATAAATAAATAAATAAATAATTATTTAACAGACACAAAATGTCAATAATATTATCGCTGCTCCATTCTCGCTGAGAATCAACATCGAGAAGCGGAAAGAGACGGCAGACAGCTTGGCGCGGCCAAGAGAGAAAGAGCGAGCTGAGAATGTACGATAAAAACACCTGTTCACCAAACAAAATTCACTCAGTCTGCAGTTAGACAGCCACCTCGGCGGTCGTTTGTTTCCAAACATGACGAAGTCAGCTCGTGGATACCAGCTCATCGCGTTGCTTTTGGCGATCGTGATACCGAGAGAGATTCGAGCACGTGAGGCCATCACTCCCGGCCCTGATGTGGGTCAGATAATCAAAGATCTCGATGGATTGCATATTGATGGGACGGGATTTGAGCCAGGTGAGTTTTACAGTAGCATTCGAAATATTAGTTTGGTTAAAATAAGATGTCTTAGGAAATTTGGTAATGTTTAAGGTAATTTATTTTAATACAGATTTTTTATTAATTTATATATTAAATATACTATATATTTGGAAAATGTAAATTATAAAGTAGAGTTTATATTTTACTTGTACATTAATTTCTTGTGAACGTAATTATTAGACATACTAGTACTTTTAAACGTAATTTTTATTCATTTATTTACTTTCTCTACTTTTTTTTTTTTTTTAATATTTAAATTATAAAGTAGAGTGTGGTAGAGTGTTGTTAATTTGCATTAATTTCTTTTTCTGTGAACTGCTGATAGTAATTCAGAACTTGGTCTGTCTTGCCTAACAACTATTTCTTGACAACTGCTAAGCTTATTTGCTTAGAAAGTGATACTCCATGAAATTATTTTCTAAAAATACATAAACATATGGTTCTGCAAAGGCCACAACTTTACAAATTTAAATATATATTTGCATAGTTATAAATAAAAGCAAATGTCGTCACATTTTTTAATGAATGTGTCATAAAATTGCCTACGACTTTTCTTCTTTTTGTTTATTAAACTTTTTTTCAATATATCATAATTCTTAAAGCTAACTGCTTATTTATAAATACTTTCCAATTTAAATAACTTTAATGTTGCAAATCTCTAAGTTTTCTCAAACTATTCCCTAATTTAGTCAATTTAATTTAGTTAATTTTATTGACGCCCGAAAGCATAACGTTAAACACCAAGTGAAAATTCCAGGTGCTCCCTGCAGGGTGGACGTGCAAAAGGAGCTGCCTCGACCCGACCAGGTTCAGCCCCTTTACCTCCGCCCCGGCACGGATCTCTACTGGTTGCCCAACGTCGACGGGCAGCTGGAGATACCCCGTGGCGCCAGCATCGAGCTGCACTGCAGCCATTCCTTTGCATCCATGGACACCGACCAGCGCTCGATACGGGTGCAGTGTTTGGAGAACACCACCTTCGCGTGGAAAGGGTCTAAAATGAAATTCCGCGATTTCACCTGCAGGCAGGCCATTCCCTACACTGTGGAGCGCCTCGACAGGCGTTGCGGGGATGAGTCGCTGCAGCACCCCGCAGCGTTCTGGTATCGCGTAGGCTACGACATCGGAGACGGCAGATTTGTGGCAACCATGGAACTGTGCCACGACCCGTATCTCCTGCGCACACACTACGCCCGCCACCAGTTGACACCCGCCAGCGTGCACTTCCAGAGGAACGTGAAGCGCACGAAATTCAGTCCCGCCGGCCACTTCACCGGCGTGGACATAGCCAGGATTTACTCGCACCGAAACCAGGAGAAGGTGATGGATGCCGGCCTCATCGACGTTAAGGCCGGGCTTTTCCTGGCCCGCGGGCACCTGGCGGCCAAGGCGGACCTGATCTATGCCAGCCAGCAAAGGAGCAGCTTCAACTATGTCAATGTTGCGCCCCAGTGGCAGACTTTCAACGGTGGACGCTGGGCCAATCTGGAGGAGGCCACGCGGCGCTATGTGGCCAGCTCTGGTATCTCGGCCACCGTGTACACGGGCACCTATGGCCAGATGAAGGTGGCCGGCAGCCGGGTTCTCCACCTGGCCACCGATGCCAACAACAACGGAGTACTGGCCGTGCCCCAGCTCTTTTATCGCGTCCTCATCGACGAGGGGCAACCGACGCGCGGCATCGCCCTGCTGGGCGTCAACAATCCGTATGCCACTCTAGCCCAGATTCACGAGTCCTATGTCATCTGTGATCCCGTCGAGGAGCAGGTGGCGTGGCTGGACTGGTTGCACAAAGGCAACGCCAAGGGTAAGCTGAAGCAGGGCTATCTCTATGCCTGCTCCGTGTCGGACCTGGCCCGTGTCGTCCCCCAGCTGCCACGCCCCCTGCTCGAGGTGGACGAGCTGCTGGCATAGATGCGGGCTCCGGTTTCGTTTCCGCTTCCGCTTACCTTTTGTGTTTAAGCGAATGCAATAAAGACTGAGTGCAGGTGGGTCGTTAATATATATGAATACCTTATATTGATTCAGGAAAAATTTCGTATTTATATCCAAATATAGGGGGAGATGTAGGGAAATATTTTAATGTGAATGTATAATATATAAAACTTGTAGATCTATAGATATAAATAATTTATATAAATAACAATAAATTGTCTAACAAGATTAAGGTTCTTAAATATAAATTGAATAATTGGAGTTCAGGAAGTTACATATAATTTTAAAAAATTCTTTATTGTAAAATATACACTTGGAAAAGTTCACTAACAATTTTGGAACAATTTCAAAAACCTCTGTTGTTTTATATATAAAAAAGTAATGTTTCGTTTCATTTAATCAATAAAATTCTAAGTTAAACTATTGGGATAACGCTTTCTTAGATTTTAAATAAATCCCCGGACGAACCTTAACCCGATTTCATAAATCAAACAAGTTAATTTCCAAGTTAAGGAGTTATCCCCAGACCATTCTTTCGTTATCCATCTGTGCCAGTTTCATGTGTGTGGTGTGTGTTTTTGTGCCTTCCGATTATTAACGCTCGTGTGAGCTTCACGCCATCAAAATCAAATGGGACATCGTGTGTGGTCATGTCGGGGGCGGGTCCACGCCCACTTCCCTGGGTAACCGGGGCCAAAATCGGAAACGATATAGCCTCGTTATGCGTTTGCCTTGTTGGCGGCAGAGCAAAATCGGTGGAAGAAACGAGGATATCAAATACGGCTCGGCTGCATTACCTTCACACACATACACAAAACACAATTTGTTCCACAACATTGATTTAATCCTTTTTCTTCTGGGCCACGCACACACCACACACTCACACACACACACACACAAAAAGGCTGTCGTGAAGAATTTTCTTAAATTTTCCGCTGGGGTTTTCATGGCACTTCCTGTCGTGGCGCTGCGTCCTTGGCATTATCATGAATATTTTTGCCCTCCGTTGTGTGCCTTCGATACATTTCCATTTGCTGATTTGAAGCGCACTTTCCACTCGGCTTTCTTCTCGTCTGCTCCTCTCTGCTCTTTTCCGCTTTACCATTTTTTCCGATTTTCCGTTTTCCGCTCGCTTAGGTCCAGACCGTGGCATTTGGAAAAAAATAATGTTTTTATGCTGGCTTGTGCGGTAAGCAATATTTGCTCAAGTATCCCTTACAGACTTCTGGGCAGTAATCATTGAATGGGGCGTGGAATGTAAGCCAATTTATGGTTTTGGTTTGGGAAGCAAATTACAATTAAATTTTAAGTGACAAAAATTTTATTTTTGGCTCATTAGGTTGTCGTATTATTAAATTTTGTGTCTTGGAATAATTTTAAATTTTATATAAATATTATCTGAATATTTGAAATAATTATACATATATTTAAACACTACTGAGGATTTAATTATATTTAATTTTACAGCTTTAAAAATATCTTTGTCTCGTAAAAATTGTATTTCCTTTCATATGGACTGCATATCCATAGGTTCCCTATTCATATCCGGCTACATCGCGTTTCTACCGCGTAATAAAATTGAAACTTTTTGGGATTTGTTTATTATTTTTAAATTGGTCAAAATAAGTCTGGGAGAAAGGATTGAAGGCGCCCCTATTTTATAGAAATTAAAATAATAAATAAGTAAATTCTTGATGCACACTAATAATTTCCAAAAACGAACATTGACAAACTTCAAACTTCCAGCTCACATTGCCTGGAAATTAAATGCTCCTTGTGTTGCTACGAGTAGCTGCAAAACATTTGTAACAATTGTATTTCGCTTTAGGATATGGAATGGAGTGCAGCACGAGCTCCAAAGTCCAGACGACTTTTCTTTAGTGGCCATAACATTTCCCTTAAAATTGAGAGGAAAAAGAGAAAACACAACAAATTGCCCTGTTGTTGTTTATCTTGTTATATTTTTCTTTTTGCTGACTTGATGAAGTTTATCTGGAGGCCAGAAGGAGCAGCGAGCAGTAGTAAAAAAGACGAATAATTGAACGCACTTCACGCAGATGTTGTCGGGATTCTTTTTTATGTCATTTGCTCGCACGGCCTGCCGCCCAGAAGGATGTGTGCGTGTGTGTGTGTTGTGTCCTGTGGCCTCCAGCGGAAATTATAATTTATATTTGGGTTTTCGCCCGGCTTCTGTGTATATTTTAATATCGCCACCTCTGGTTCCGAGGGCCAGTTCCAGGCGGCTCTTCTTTTATTTTGATTAAAATGCATATTAAATATTTGGCGAGCAAACAAAAAACGAAAACACAACCGAAATGTATCAAAATAAAATGTGTAAAAAAAAAAAAACAATACACATAAAAAATATAATATAAATAATTTCCTGCTACCGTCTGAATTTATTTCCCGCTGTGGGTCCTGCTTCCTTCCGTCCCGGCGATAAACTATACACATCGCAGGACCCACACACACACACATGTGTATTGAGCTACGACCCAACCCGACTTGCTGCAAATCCTGTGCTGCGCCTGCAAGGATATAAAAAGTAAACAAACAATGAAATTGTTCCCCTGTTTTCGGCCTTATTTACATGTGCGGATGGGCATATTTTGGAATTGGGGACACAGGCCCAACAGGAAGCAGTAAGGGTTTTGATTAATATTGGAAATTGGGGCTCCTTTGACCGTTCTTTAATCGATATGTGATAAGATCTTGTCAAAATTTATGTCAGATTTAGGCAAAAATAAATTATTCTAATATTAACTAGATTTATTTCAAGTTTTTCTTTCAGAGAACTAGCTTTACTTTTGCTTCACTCTTGCCTAAGCGCTGTTTCCTTGTGGCCCGAGCTCCAATTGGATTTTTATACCCTCAATTTGAGCAACAATTTTGCACATTTTGACCAGTTTCTCCTCTGTCCAGCACAGAAAGCGAAACAACGGTCCAAAGTGAATAAAATACGTGCACACAATCCAAATGAAATAAGAGGAAAATATGAAAATTGGAGAATGCCGGAATGCAGAAAGAAAAGCGAGACGAGGACACGAGGAGATGGAGATGGGGATGGAGAGGAAATTCCGTTTCATTTTACTGGAAATTACAGTGGAGAATGTCCCCGGCAAGACAAGACGACGTTGACATCCAATATCCTTATTGTTGGCCAACGGAATTTATGGCTAACAAAGTCGTTAAGTAGGCTAAAGTGTGTGGCTTGCAGCGGAGACCGAGGCTATGGCAGTTTGCAGCCTGCACTTGAGCGTAAAATGGCCAAGTCAGGGTCGGGTCGGATCGAGTAAGCGCAACTCGAAGCTAATGAGGTCATCAACGTGCCCACCGCACCCCCGCAATAACCCATCCGAGTGCCGGTCCATCCGCATGCATCACATCACCGTCGTGGCTGCGAAATTGAATTTTGAGTACTGCCAAAGTGCGGCCGCCAGGTAGGCTCCGATTCAGGTGTTTGATTAATGGGTCCCGGGTCCTGTCCCTGTCGCAGCCAAAAGCCGGATTCGAAACATGTTTGCTGGTCACCCACTACACCGCCCTGACTGGTTAACCCACCGAGATCTGATTTCCAACCCGATTGCGGCTGGGCCACTGCAATTACGGTTGCAGCAAATTGGAGAAGTGGTTTCAGAGCTCGAGATCAATTTTAGTTTGATACGATTTTAGTGAGAAATAGCTTTAAATTATTTAAGAATTTCTCTTGCGTGTATCTTTATTCTAATTACATTTTTTAATAAGAATATTAATGAGTTTTCTTGTAATAAGATTTTAAACTGTGAACATATTAACATTGCTTCCTCTACGTAAATTTTTGTTGTCCTAGTCCTTGTACCTTATCCAAAACCATAACCTTGCCATCATTGGTTCCCACATCGGTCGCAGGACCTAAACTTCCTCCACATTAAATTCTATTATTCTCTTGTTTATGATTTGACTTTAAGGGCCCGTACACTCTCGTCTCGATTGAAAGACGCCAGGGGATCAGCAGCAGGAACTGGCGCAGGAACAGGAAGAGGATGGGCAAATAAATTGGTTTCTGGCATAAAGGCATGAAGACCCCCACACACCCAGGTACTGGCTCTGCGCCAGAATTTGAATATGTGTGAATATTTATGTACGAATATACATATTTCTAAAATCATTTCATAACCCTGCCCATAAAAAGCAACGATAATTTCGTACCTTACCGGCTTGTCGTCGCCAGGTGAGATCAAAGGGTTTGCCATTGTCCTCTGCGGCGTGAAGTCACATGAAAGTTTATGAATTTGCTTTAGGTGTGATGGTAATTAAATAAAGGTCTTGAAATAAAGGCAAAGCACTCGACAGATTTAAGATAAAGCTTTCGAGGAAATTAAGGAAGCTGTCAATAAAATATATGAAATAAACAGGAGGTGATTTTGGAATATTTTGTGAAAATGAAGTGGAGATTTCAATGTAATTTTACATCTCTTTTCAAGGATTCAAAGGCTACACTTTAATGTTAAGAAAGATTAAATCTAAGCATGTCCGAGTTAAGGTTATAAAGGTTATAAAGAACCATGTTCAAGTGAAATGATTGCCGGCAATCAGGGGGAATAAGGGAAGACCCGTAAAAGCAAGCATAAAACCGAGGCTACTGAAAAATGTAACAAGCCGCAGAAGAACAACAACTGCCAGCCAAATGGGTTAACACTCAGTTTGTCCGTGCTTCCGTGTTTGAGGAGCATTCGGCGCTGCGCTTTTTATCATCTTTTCGGCCCGCCCCAAAGTTGCGCGCCGTCTTGGCCACAATTGGCATGTCGGTCTGCGGTCGGTGGCTGCAGCTGCAAGGCAAGGATGTGGGCCACAAAAATGCGGCTGGGAGATTGCCACAACGAAACGAGCAACGGAAAGGTAACAACTGTGCGCCGGTGGGTTGCAAATGACTTTGCCATGCTAACCAAATGGTTATCTTTCAGTTTCATTGTGGTGCCCCTGCAAGTGGATAACTTTTGGGTCTGCGAGTCCCCTGTAATTTGCATTTCAGCCAGAGAAATGGCAGGATTCTCCTCAGCCTTTGTACATTCAAACGAAAAAGTGCTTGTACTTTACATTTAAAGTAATACTTAGGTAAGTTTGAAGTTTTTCTTAAAGGTAAATGCTTACACTAAGAAAATAGCTTGAGGTTCTATAAAGTTTTAAATAATGACTGACATTTATAGTTTTTTTTATTTATGTGTGCTTCATTACTCTTGCTTATAATCGTATCACTGAAAATTGATCAAATACGTGTAATTGATTTGTTTGTTTCTGGCAATCAAATTGATTATTCGTTAGCCAGGAATTTAAAAGGCACAAACATCTACAGTTCTACTGTGATTTACACTTTACAGTTCAATGAACTGACCGCAGTTAAGGGAGAATTTCCCGAGGAGTGACAAAATAGGAAAAGCGTTTGCCCGAGACACTTCAAGTGTAAATTTGATGGCCTCGAGGCGTCCTCTCAAGTGCAGTCGATGATAAATCTCCACGCAACAATGCTGACTGTATATATATATAGGCCAAGCCATATATAGGCAAACAATATATAAAATCTAAACGGGGCTTTCACCCTCCGGTTTTATCGCTTTCGTTACTGGAAAGCAATTGAATTGTGTCGCTGCTCACAAAAGAGTGTCGTATGGATACGTTTGCCGGTCCAATCACCGGCTTGTCGCCAGGATACCGGAAATGGGTGAAAGTGAAAGCCCCGGCAATGGTGGTCATTAGGGCGCCTTAGGAAGCTCCACTCTCTGGCTTTTGCTCCGCCAGCTTATCGTCCGGCTGACAAATTGCCGGCCAGACAACGACTCCTGATGCCGACGAAATCCCCTACGGAGCAGACTTTAATTCTCAATGAAGTCAAAGTTAAATAAAAAAAGTTCTGAAAACCCAGAAACATAAAAGCGAAAATGTATTTCAATCTATTTGGCACAGTCTATATAGGTGGGGCGGGGGCCAGAGAAGATTTACGGCGCCGCTCTTGTTAAATGCTCTGTCAGGAGACGACAAAAACAAAAAGGGTCGAACCATTGGCAGGAATATGGATATTTCCACTGAAATCGCTGAAAGCAACAGTTGAATTATTTAGCTTTATGCGAAATGGAGTTTAAAGGCAAAGTTTTATTCAGTTCTTGCATGGAAATACAGCAACTTCTGTCAGTTTAAAAAGAGAAACTTGATTTATAATGGAATAGATCTTTAACACCCCAACTAATTATAATGAATATAGAAAACACTAGGATGTTCATTATAGACTTGTGGATAATCCACTTTATTTAGCAGCTGCCAAGGGTCTCTCCTCTCTCCGTTTGCCAAACACGGAATCTCACGAATAATGTGAATGTGACAAGAATATAAATTCATATTACAGAAACTCTGAGTACGAAGTATAACGAGCAGGAGAGTCATCTCTCCATTCCCTCCAACCTCCACCCGGTCCGCCCCGAGAATGGGACTCTAATGTGACATTTATAAGTGCCGGGGCGACGGATGGGCGACGTTGCATGTGGCACACACTGACGAGCAACGAGAATTACAAAGTGCATTTTTCATCATTCTCCCAGAAGGCGAACACACAAGTTGCACAACTATTTTTGAGTTACTCATATCATGTTCCCGCTTTGGCACTTGAGTATGCGAAATTTGCGACACACTTTAAAGTCCTTGAGCAAAGCAGCACGGCGAGTTCTCAAGTTGATTAGATAGAAGTTTGGGCCAAGCAGCAGCACGAATTATCCTTTAAATGCAGACTCCAAGCTCAGGATCAAGTGCCTTTAGTAAATTTTAGAAATATTATAATATAAGAGATCACGCAACTGAGCCCCATATGATGCGCTCCTTATGGATGGAAATGTCCTGGAATTAAAAAAAAATATTTAATAAATTGTTTCTAAGATTTCTTAAAACCACAAACCTCATGAGATATATCTTGCTTCTGACTGATAGCTGGTATTTCCAGCTTGAGAGGAGGCTGCTGCCCTAGCCTCTCGTCCATCCGTAACAAGTCTATTGCATCGTTGAAGAAGTTTTTGTTAACATTACCCACGGCCAATCGAAGCAGCTTAAGCCTTTTGCAGCTTGCAATTATTGTGAGCAGGCCGTGGGAAATATCCAGGGGACGGGACATCCATAGACAAATCTCCTCCAGGTTCTTGAGTCGGCCTAGCATCTCAACGCACTCGTTGCTGGCACAAAAGCACGTGAGGTGCCTCAGGCTCTGGATGCATACCAGCTGGCAGACCTCCCCTTGGGTAAGGCTTCCTCCGTCGATGGAAAGGTGTTTCAGCTGAGATTTTACTGCCAGAGACGAGAGAAGGGGCTCAAAGGAGCCGCTACGTCGGATTCCAAAGTGTGAGAGCTCTCGGAGCTTGGGAAGCTTAGCCAGCGGTTTGTAGTCCGCCGGCTCCGCTGTCATGCCGAACTTGAGTACCTCCAGGTCTTTGCAGTGGGTCACAATAATATCCACAAGATTCTTTTGGCAACAAGAATAGCCCAGATGGAGACTGCGAAGATTGCTATTGGACTTGAAGCATTTCACCAGGCAAGCTGGGGGAACCTTTGGTATGAGAAGCTGAAGTGTTTCCAGATTCTGCAGTTGATGCAAACGATCCACACTGAAGTCTGCAAGGGTTACCAGAAGTTGGCATTATTTTTGTCAAGTTTATTATCTACATATACCTTACCCTGAGTGGCCTGAAACTCCAGTCGTTTCAGCTCAGGCAAATGCCTAACGGCGGCCAGGACTTGATCGAAGGGCTTGTCAATGGGTGCTATGTAAAACTTTAGCTGCTTCACCACCAGGTGCTTCAACCGGTTCATACCAGACAAAGTATGGCAGAGGATACCATAACATTCCGCTGGTGCAATGCATCTATAGGACGTTCCCATGCATTTTCCCGTATCAAAATGCTCCAGATTGATGGTCAAAACCTCCACCGCCTCCCGACAGATGCATAATTGTATCAGTTCTAGTCGCCGACTGTTTTCGTCGAGTGTGAATTCCCGGTATTTACTGCCGCACTGATTGATAAAAACCTGACGAAATCGCTGGCTCACTTGAGCGAAACTAATGCGATCTTTCGTGGTCAGGAATTCGAGTATATTATAAAGACAGTCGTCGATGAGCTCTGCTATGTTTGTGGCACCCATTGCCAAGGCGTTCGAAGTAAGACTAAAATGTAATTCCACTTTTTGAATGAAGGCAAACCTAAGGCCACGTCGGAATAAACAGCTATGAGTAATCTGTTGTTATTTCTGTCCCGATAAGATATACGTACTCGCCGGGAATTGGCTGGGGAACCAGTTTGGCGAGTCTAAATGAAACTGACCTACCGTAACTGATGAATGAAATAAATGCATTGCTGATGAAATATAAACAAACAACAGCTGGCAGTAAGGCAAGAGCTTTACTGACTATTTTTATACCATTGCAGGGTATTATAATTTTAACCAGAAGATTCAGTATGCGGTTTTAATAAAACAAATAAAACAACAAACACCTAATAAAACAAACAGAATTGAAATTGATGCATTTTTAATTTAGTTATGATGGTTTACAAATACAATCTTCGATTTAAATGAAAATAAGCTAAATTCGTATATCAAATCTAATTGTCATTTCTAAGTTTCGTAGGACAATATCGGTCTCTATCCTCGCGAACTTTGCAATGACTAAGGTGCTCCTGAGATATGTCGCGACGGCCAGATATATGATCTCTTGGGTGTCAGAGTCAATAGGAATTTCCTTTTCAAACTCTTCCACATGCAATCTGATGTCAGATTTCTTCAATTGCATTAGTTCTCTTTCTATATTCAGCTTCACAGCTAACCTGAGCTCTTTTAAATCTCTAATTCTGGCTAAGAGCTGTATATTTCGGGCATGTGTCGGCCATTGATTTTCCAAGGTTGTGAGCAATCCAAATTTGACTATTTTTGCAGTATCCTTGGAATTGCTTATGTTCTGGCTCCTTAGACTTTCTATTGTGCTTCGCATCTCGTTTATCTCAAAGCACATAGGAGCGCAAGAAAAATGTGAGTGTCCACTGTGTCTTTGATACCAATTTTTTAGCCGTCACAGTATTCGTCTTATGAATGTCATATCTCTAGAAGTAAGAAATAGAATGCTTTCATTTGAGAGTATGTCTACGCTTATATGGTCCTGCTTTTGATTATCCTCTGTCGAATTCATCTTCAAATCAAGACCACCAATGATCGGCAGTTGCCACAATTGTGTTGGGCTCAAGTCCAATGGCGGTTCCTTTATATGGCAATCTAATTCTTGTAGATGCCGAATCTTAGATAGCTCTTCGATTCCCGATTCTATTGGATGGTCAAATGTCAGCGTCTTCAAGGTCCTGGAACAATTATCTGCCATTGATTTGAAGAGAGCACCCAACGAATCCGCCTGCGGGCTTCCACCTAAACTCAAGGAGCTTAATTTCGGTAAATGGGTGAGTGGTGCGTACTCGATGGCATTTGAGTCTGGTTTCATTTGAATATTCAAACAATGTATATTTTTGCAGTAGGGTGCTATATCGGCTAGTCTGCCGTATATTTCAGTGCTAATAATCATAAGAATTTCCAGATTTGGGTTTGATTTTAAACAGTCAACCAGTGATTCGGCCTCCATGGGAGTAGTCAGCGAAAGAAGGCGCAAGTTCCGAAAACTCTCTAGGTTTCCCGCTGAGTAAGCTGTGCAAAATATGAATAATTGTAATTTAAACTAATCAAACTATCTCACATTTCATTACTTAGCATTTTTATATTTAACGTCTCTAAGTTTTCTTTTTCTTTAAGAATTTTTATAATCCGTTCGAATGTCTCCATATGCTCAGGGTAATATGAATTCGTCTGGAATCTGATAACGCAACGCAAGAGACCCGGATTTTCCTTGAGGGAGGTACATAAGATGTCCCAGAACTTAAGCTTCTCCGATTTGGTGTACTTTTTAGTTTTCTCGTACATTTTAGCCAAATCTAGAAACACAATATTCCCGGTCAAAAGTCTCCAGTCTTCCAGTCTCTCCCACAGGTCTTCACTCCAGTTCAGAAATGCCGACCGAAAGTAATCATGGGCAATCGCAAAGTAGATTAGGTCCCTATATCGATCTGTATTTTCTCCAAGTTCACAATTATTTTGTATTTGCTTAAAAATGGCGAATAAACAAAACGAGTTTAGGTCAAGAATTGATTTAGTTGTCCCCGATTTCACTTCCATTGTGTTTCGATCGGCGAGAATAACTTGACTTTTTCCGATGCCGGTTCCGAAGGTACTGCTTCCGGCAAAGGGGAAACCTAATCTTTAAATCGACTTCGAAAAAGATAAGATAGGAAAAGCTACACAGAGGAAAATATATTTGAAATTCTTAAAATAAAACTATTCCCTATTTCTCAACCAATATTTTTGGCTTTAATGAATTTTGTATATTCTTTTTTAAACAAAAGAACAAAAGCAATGTGGTTATCAGGTGTAAGCGCCACCCGAAAGTGTTATAAAAACATTATAATTGAATTTTTTATAACGTGCCGCGCTGGCTGAACTTATCCTTACTGTGGCTGGACTGGAGTCATAAAATATCAGGCAGGAGGAGCTAAGGCTAAGGAACATTTAATAGTTGGGAACATAAATTCGCCTGGGCAGCATTACAATTAGGAGGGGAAATGCTCGGGCTATAGGTATACGATGGTTCGCCCTTCAAAGTCGGTCCCTTGTCTTGCCTTTTTATTGGAAACTTTCCGGAAATGTGACGCCTTAAATTCAGCTGGTTAAGGTAACTACTGACAAGGTCATTGATAAGAAAAAATAGTAATAAAAATCAAGCAAGGGGATTCCCCTTTAATAACATTGAAGGCCTCCTCATTTGTGTTTTTTGATGAAAATTGATTATTTGTGTCTGACATGTTTTTGAGTTTTATTCACCCACAAGGACTGATGTTAGTTTGCGCTTCAATGATCTGTCAGCGTTTGTCGCCTGGCCAGAAATGTGTGTAATTTAATCAGACGGCGGGCCGAGAAATAAAGTAGGCCTAATGTGCGAAAAAGATGACAGGCGATGTGTTTGCCAGTCGTCCTGCCCTCAAGGCAGGACCTCTGATATTGTATTATGTTTTATCCTCTTGCGTTGTCTCCGCTGAGAAAATGAGAAAACCGCATTTGCATAAGTAAGAAAGTGTGAAAGTGAAAGCGAGACTACTGGCCCTATATCCCTTCTCGTAAGCCGTTTTTGCGCTTTTTGACAAATGACTTAAAGCCTTTTGGGGCCTCCGACTGGCCATGAAAAGGGTTCAAGTAATTTGTTGAGACTCTTGAATATTGAATGCGAATGCGAATGCGAATGCGGACCACGTGCAGGGGGACACGACGCAGAAGAATAAAAATGAAATATCTTTTTGGCCAAGGCAGCAAACAAATAAGCTGCGAAGAAAAAGCGTTAACCGCCATGACACAAAATGCTTTATGTCCCAAGATGCTGAAATAAAATGCTTTATGGAATTATGGAATTGCGTAACACCATCAGATGTCCCATCAACATTTCATAAGCCATTAAATATCCAATGACCTATTTAGAGCGGGTTTGGTTTAGATCAGAGAGCTTCAAATTTAAGTTAAGAATATAGTAGAAATATTTATACATATTTAAGTTGTAACTAGTTTTCATTGGAATAATATAACTAGAATCAGAAGCCTTTAGTTACGATAGGAGTAGCTAATCAAGGTGAGGAAAGTTCTGAACGAAATATTATAGAATTAAGCGTTGCCGTACATCTGGTCAGAAAACTCTTAACCCGAATGAATCCACATCTGTCTTTCATGTGCGTGATGAAAATCGCCCAAATATGAGTTCAGATTGGCTTAGGCATGTTGTTGGGGCCCGGTTCCATTTCGCTTTTATTGCAACAACTTGCGAGAATGTCCTTGTCCTTGCCCAAGCCAAAGGAGCCGGAGGAGGTGCGCGTTTAATCCGGAAACTTATTTATGTATGCCTTTCCGGTCGTTTTCCTTGCCCGACGCATTTCTCGCATGTGTAAGTTCGTTTATTGTCGCACAGACAATCGCACAAACAAGGGTGTTTCGATGCCTTTGCCAGAGGTTGGCAGGCAGCACAAAGGGGAGACCGGGAGGTGGCTTTATGCCATTCTTATGACACGCCCGCGCACACTTTCACTTTACATAAGGCCAGTGTTGTGGCGATGTGCGTGAGGGTCCTTTGTAGCGGCAACGCTTCAGGAGGACATCTAGGCGGCAGCGAGTGTTTGTGTTGACAACACTTGATAATTCCTTGCATACACGCACTTTGACTGCAAGAAACTACTCGTTTTATCCAATGCCATCTCTGGATACTGGGTACTTGCTTTTCCATTGATGTGTGCATCCTGCCCTTGGGTATCCTGTCCTGGCAGTTCCTTGTCTGCGGCTTTGAATTATTTAAAATGGTTTCTTTGCGGAAAATTGAGGAGATGGAGAGGATTCTCCATTATTATATATTCATAAGGGGGCAGATCGATGGGTTATTTCGAAACATGATATTTGTCCTGGCTATAAATTTTGATTTACGGAGTGTCCTGCGGCTGCCTCGTTTAGCTTTTAATCGTGCTCTGGGCTAAGTAAGTGGAGACTGTGCGGGATATTCGTTTTATGTTTACTCTTAGTCATTTTGTTGTGACCTTGATTGACACATAATACTCGGCTTAAGGACATCACTTAAAAAGCTTATTAAACAGTTTATAGTTAAAGGAAGTAATGTTGTAATATTGAATTTCTGGACACTAAGTTCTTTGCTACTTAAGACAAGTTCCCACAATACATAGGTATGTATAATATCAAATGATTTAAATGAAATAAAAATTTACTAGTAAATTTCAAAAGGAAAAATATAACTAATTCATTTTCCACCAAACTTACTATCTAGCAATTTCTTTTTTCCCAGATTTTAAGCCAACTTGTCTTAAATTTTGTCACTCACGATGGCTTTGATTCTGCCCTAGTCGTTGGTTCGAACCAGGATGGCAATGGCAGGATGTGCGAACCCTTGCTGGGTTAATTTAATTAACGAGCAAGGCAAAGAAATTACTTCGAGGGCCGCGGAAAAGTTGTACAGCTGCGGCTGGCGGAGACCTTCGCGGAAAAGCCTGCGATGGAAAAGGAAAATGCCTGGCAGTCGGGCCATAGATCAAAGCACGCCTGCTGAGCACGGCTTTTCCGCTTTCCCTGCAGCTGCTTGTATTTGTGCTTCCCGTGCGTGTGAGCTGTCAGCAGGTGAGTGTGCGGGGAGTGTGCGAGGTGTGTGTGTGTTGAGCCTTGTCGGTTTTATATAAAGTAGGTCAGTAGTAGTGCCTTGCCAATAAAAGTTAATGCTTTCAGGTGCTATGTAGTATGTGTGCGGGTGGTTGTGCATTGTGTGCCCTGGCCTGTTGATATTTTTTAATATTTATAGAATTTTAAAATGCCTGTTAAGTGTAGATATTAAACATTTAAATTCGCAAGCCAGGCGATTGGATGAAGTTTTAACACTTTTTGGCAGTGCTTTAAGTCATTTTATTATTTTCCAATGCAAAACGCCAGACACTGGAGTTTTCTTTAACATTATACAAGTTAATGAAATTACCATTACTTACTTGCCATTTCTCTATATTTTTTTTACAGTTTTATAGTAGTTTTTCGAGATAATATTATTATCTTATCTTACCCTGACTGTGAGTATCGCATTTAGCTATCTACTTTGCACTTTTTCGATTGCAAAAAACAGTCATCGCTCTTCGGCTTACCGCTATGGATGTGGGCATTGGAATTTTGGATCTCAACGATTACTGCCTTCAGAGGATACTCCATTATGTGGACATTAAAGGACAAATAAGCTTTGCCCAAACCTGTGCTAGGTTTCGGGATGTCTTCCATGTCTGGTCACGTTGTGAATACTCCTATGTTTCGATTGTTGGCGACGTTGAACCAAGGGAGTTGACCTTGCTCAGTCTGGTGGCCTCGAGTGTCAGAAAGCTGAATATATTCGCTGACGATCTGGTTAGTTCATTCAATGATAATTATACAGACAAAAAGCACCATAATGTAGTTTCAAAATTTTGCAACCTGATCCGAAGCATGGACTGCCTGAAGTCCATCAAGCTATGGCAGGTGAGTCCACATCCGATCGTCAAGCACATACTGAGGGCATTAAGAGACTTGCCTCGTCTGAGAAAGCTGTATTTGTGCATTCCAAGTAAGTGTTTAAGAGTGTGATTCAAAAAGTTAATTATCTGACTATTGTCAACGCTCTTTTGTAAAGTGCGGATCACGATAGACTTGAGTCGGTCTTATCGGCTGAACTTATTCTGGACTCCTAGGGATCTACTGAGACACTGCAGATCCCTGTGTAACCTGAGGACCCTACATCTCTCCGATGATGTGAGCAGCTCCAATCTCCGGGATATAGTAAAGCAGATGCCGCATCTGAAGGATCTGAGCTTCTATATAGATCGATCTAATAAATGGAGTCTGTTTCTCTGCCATCAAGATACCAGAAATCATCTGACCAGGATCTTTGACTTCCTGGCAAGCAAAAGGAGACTGGAAGTTCTCAGGATCAAGGGAGAAATAAATGCTGACAACGAGGCCAAGTCCTTGGCTAACATAAAAACCCTGAAGTCCCTGGATTGTAGTTTCGCCAACCCCAACTTTGTGATTTACCTGACCGAACTCACTTCGCTCAGGAGCCTGCGCATAACATCGCTCCATGGCATGGATATATCTGCAACATACCTACAGGTGATTCGAAGCTGCAAAGATCTTAAGTTCCTTCGCATTTTCGATTACAACATTAGTCCGAACTTTGTTTCCTTGGCCGGCAAAGTGCTGGAAGAGATCGAGTCGGAGAACACACTACATTTAAGAGTCCACGGCCGCCATAGCTCACATTCATTGAAGGAGTTTAAGTCAAATGCTTTGGACCATAAAAATCTTTTATTTCGTTCAATAACAGCCACAGAACTTTTAACATTAATCTGAAAGGGGTTACAAATATTTTTAGATGTATAAAGTTATGATAGTTTTGTTTTTCAGTATTAAGCATTGGCTAGAGTTTTTTTCTTTCAACATTTAAGAACGTTATTACTATTATTATATTAAATTTCGGAGAAGTCATATTTTTAAGTCTAAGCTTACTTATTTCTATTATATTTAAAATTGTAATCAATTGCCAAAGTTTAGGTTAAGAAACAAAGGACAACTCAAAAATCTATAAATATAAATAAAAAATTATAAAAAACAGTCAAGATTCTCTAAAGAAAATGGTTTATTTATGTATGTTTTACCTACGCATTCAGCTGAGTTCCCTAAGGCGTTAAAAGTAAAATTAAGCGGCTTTCCAGGGCTCCGTCTGGCATTTCCAATTATGCAAAACTCCGAACTGTTAATGAAATGTGTCAGAAACAATTTGGTATAATTTTTCACTTAAAGCTGAAAACAATTTATAATTAGAAAAGGCCTCGGAGTGAGAGGAAAAGGAACGGGAAAAAATGGTTTTACCTGTTGGCAATCTACAAAGTCGCTGTTTTTTTGTTGTATTTTCATTTTTATTTCGCAATGACAGACAACAGAGGGCGGGACAAACGAACAGTGATTGCGGATAGACAGAGATGGACGGGGACGGGGACGAAGACGGGGGAAAACAAAATGGCAACTGTCGCAGACGGAAGTACGTCAAGTGTGGGCACAAAGCCGTCAAGCGAATGCCACGGATAAGCGGAAGTGGGCTGCAAGAAGAGGAGCAAGTTGGCGGGCCGGAAGCGGCCATTGTGTCCTTGCGGCGAGATAGGGGTTGTGGGCGGAAATTATTGTTTCTATTTTCGAATTTTTTGCTGACTGTTTGTCGGTTGAACTTTTCCATTTATGACGCACTCTGGCGGGGAAGGGTCCCAGTTATTCTATAAAAAATTTATCTTTTGATAAAAATTCCCCTTCCCAGTTAATGATTCCATTATCTTTTTGATTTCAGTTTGGCTTCAGCTGTCGAAGTTTTAGTTTTCGCGAAATTGGACAAAGTTTTGGCCAAAATTTATTGACTTCGATTTGGTGGCCAGACCGAGCTTGAATAACTAAAACTTTAAAGTCTTTAATGCGAGTCAAAGGCGAAATCGTGGGGCATTAATTAACTTGTCGTACAAGAGCCGGGGAATTGATTGCCTTGTGCTCGCCGGCGTTTGAGAACTTGAGAAAGTAATTGCATCGTCTGACAAAGGCCCGAAACAAAACCGTGTGACCTTTTCACTGTTTACAATCTTCACTTACTGTGCCTGGCCCCGAGCAGAAGTCGCAAAGTTTTTGGCAAAATCCTTTGCCTTGTTGACTCCTGAACTGGCCCGAAAGGCTGCACTGCTGCTCCATCGAATGATGTTGTAATTGAATATTTCGAAACATTTTAAAATGCTGTGCAAATTTCGGTGCCAAGATGCAAAACTTGCTGAAGTGTTTCAATTAAAACTTGCTCAACTTGTTGACATTTATCGAACACAAAGCCATCAGTGTCGCATCCTGTTCTGACTAGGGTTTTATCAAGCTCAATCCCTAGCACATATACATACACATATTTATATATATATATGTATATCACGTATCCTGCCAGCCTGGGGTTTTTGAGCAACAAAAAGACGTTGTTGGTAGTAGTTCTTAATGTCATTGTTGAAGGGTTCCTTGTCGTAGTCGTAGTCTACCGGGTGCAAAAATCACAGGGCAATTTCAATGGTATTTTCCAAGGAAGTGCATTTGCCAAGGGACATTTCACAGTAATAACCAGAAACAGAGCTCTGCAATCAATGAGTGCCTTTCATGGACTGGCTTTGAGTATAGTTTTGCGGTAAAATACTTACAGTTGGCTGCAATTTGATTTAATTCAAGTTATTCAGTTATTTAGTTTTTTTCTCTTTATTTACTTGCCTAGCTTTAATAGCTTTATAACTTTTTAAATTAGTTGAGGTGTGCATTTTCCATCATTTTAATCCTTAATACGAGCCATAATGATTTATTAATATACATTTTTAAGTGTTTTATCTAACATTTTTTCAATGAAATCTTTATGCTTTTAATTACCGCATCATTTAAGCTTTTTCTACCTCCATCTAGTTTTTTTTTTTAACATTTTATTCCTGATACTTAAAAAGCCATTGCATATGCTTAATTTTACCTATTATTAATGTATGCAAATAGGCTGAAAAATGCATTAATGTGCACTTTTCTCTCTCATTAACTCAATGGCCTTGCTTATCGAGGCATAAAACAGCTGTTCGGCAAATAATTGACCTATTTCGTGGAACAAAGATTTGTTTTCAGGAGCCAGAAACATTCCGGGGATTAATGTGGTATTTATATTACATGAATTTCGTTTGACAGACTTGCGTTGGCGAATTTCCCCAGGCCAGGGGACTCTGTCACACACGTGCAAAGTGATTGCGTTTTGTTCCCATCAAAATACACATAAATAATCCAATTAATTGACAAGGGCGACACGAGGCTTCCTTCGGGGACCTCGAATAATTGGTTTACGGCCAAAGGCATCACCAACCAGTCCCTCTCCCTCCTGCGCTCGCTCAAAGTGGCGGTTTGAAGTTTCAGACACACTTCCAGGGGTATCCGATGCTGTATCCCCTCCCCACCTGCGAGTCTGCACAAAATGGCTAATTGGTTGCGCAGAAAGGTACATAATTGGCAAGGCGGGCTAACGGGCCAATCGGACCCGGAGCGAACGGTTTAATTGAATGTCCTGTGAAGGGTTCCCAAAGATAAAATAACCATCACGTCGCAGAGGTAGCTGAGGGTGTACATAACCTGTCGTTTTTGGCTACAAATTGATTAGTCTAAGAGTTTCATCTGAGTTTTAAGTAGTTTGCTAAATAAATTTCAAAGAATATATATATTTAAAGGATTTTTGTTGATGAAAAGTAGACATATTGGCAGGATTTTGTATTAACCTTAAATTCTTTAATAAGTTATAACTAAAGAATGCCTCCTTTGTTATTTTATTTTCTGTGTAATTTGAAATAATAACGTTTATAATAATAACCCTTACATAGTCTATATGTGCATCTTTGAGCTTACAATAATAAAGGCAAACAGAGCGTAAAAATATGAGACAAATCCCCAGCATTATCTGTCAACAGTTTTTTCAGTTTCCCATTATATATTCACTTTTACAAAATGTAAATAATTAAAATAATATAGAGTTAACTTGCCGACTTTAACGGCTGAATTGATGCGCCGAAAGTCAGCGAACCGATAAATTCGAGTTCATAATTCTTCGCAATGCATTTTGTAATTAAGTGCACAAATATTTATGCCTGGCTTGAGGGATGATATTTTTTCGCATTAAATGCATAATTAGCGCTGCTCTTTTTTCTGCTATAATGTATTTTAATAAACTTTCGATGTATGCCTTAAATAAATATCGTGCCATGAGTTGACCTCTGCAGCCTTGATTATAATAAATGTACATCTGGCTTTTGAGGATGCCGCTGAATGCATTTTATAGGCCAGGCCATGGCCTGAAATCTATATATGCATATGTGGGCCTTTTTTGCCTCAATATAAATACATGTATTTCTGCATTTTTTTGCTCTCAGCTCTTATCGCTGCATGTGAATGGAAAACCCGCAGCCGAAATGTGAGAATTCATTCAATTGCAATTGCAAATTTGTGTCACTGAACTGTGAAACAATAAAGATTATCCCGGCCGGAGATGAGAATGCGATGTATGACCGGGTTTCGGTTACCAATTTAAATATCAGTTGCCAAGAGGGGAGAAAGCCAAAGAGGAAAAACAGGAAAACATATCTCCCCTCGACGACGACGACGACGACGGCAGTTTCAAGTCTTTATTGAATGCTCACGGCTTGAGTGGGATCCTTGCTAATGAGAGGGAAATTAACACAAATATTTATGGTATATCTGCACTTGCGATTCTCTGCCTTCTGGCCATGCCAAGACCTGGATTAATGGCAAATGAAAAGGCCACAAGAATCTGGTTTCACGGACGAATGCATCCGTTGACATTGTCTGATTAAAAGTGGACTTGAGTGACCTGGCTGATTGGGCCGTTCTTTGTGTGTTTCTGGGCCACTGTTTGCCCAGATCCGCATCAGGATTGGCTTTCGATTTGATTTGCCAAGTTGCGTCTGGGTCTGGGCTGGGCTGGGTTATTTGCACGGCACTCAACTACTTTGCAGATTTGCTCACTCTGCATAAACATACTGCCATGTCGGCATATTTAATTAGCAGCAGTCTCACAAAATTGCCCGACAGCTGACAAATTATGCCAATGTGTACACGGACGGTCTGCGTGTCCTTGTGTCTGTGGGACAGGACTGGGGCCCTAATGCACTCGGCCTAAATAATTTAACATTCATTGTCTCTGCCGGACGTTTCCCTTCCTCCCTGTCCCTTCCCATCAACGAGTTTTCAGTGTGTAAATAAAACAGAGGCTGTTCGATGCTTAGTTGGCATCACACACGGCGTATACGCAATTTGCATTGCATTCCAGCCAGCCCCCAGGCACTTTCAACACTGCAATACAGTGCCTATAGTGCCAGCTGTTGTCTATTAAATGTCAATTTCAATTTGTATCTGGCTTAAAAATTGCAATTGCAAAACCTTGCCAATCAGTGGCCCAAAGCCAAGCGAGGGTTGCTGTTACAAAACGTGAGAAAATTCTAAATTTCACAATTATTTGCAAATTTTCGATTGCCAGCTTGCTAATTTTAATATTTACAATTAATGAAAGGTCTGAGATTGTTATGATAATAGATCCAAAATCACCATTTTTAAATGTTTTCCTTTTATAATAAGGGAATTATTTATACTTTTAAATATTAAGCAAACGTATGCTCAGTGATATGATTTCTGTAATTAAATCATAAAGTTGTACCTTGACGGCATTCCATTCCCCCAAGTGTAATTTATTTAATTACGTTTTAAGCCGCAGCACAGCTGACACCATGCCTTCGTCATGAAATTTCGTTCAATTGCATTTCCCGAAAATAAACACCTGTCATTCAGTTGGACGGAAGGGAAAATACAGTCGTCCTTCCCCGAGCAGGAAGTAGAAATAATTTTCGGAAAGCGACAAGCTTGTTAAAAAATCAAAATGCAAACTTACACGCTAAGCAAATATTACTTGTCTTTTTCCGGTTTGTCTGTACATACCTATGTATATATGAGCATAATTTATGTAATTTCTTCCAGAGGAGATGCAATCCTGTCACACAGTTGCCAGGTGCAAATTGATTCAATTAATATTTATGAACCTTTTAAGTTACTTACCCTCTAGGTATTCAAAAATAAGTAATTATTATTGTAAACTAGTAAGCCAGGCGAACTCCGTTACGCCACCTTCAGCAAATTATCCGTTTAATTGAAGTGTTCTTTGGTAAACCACATTTTTTGTGGAATTATCTAGGGACCAAATAGCCCCTGGGATGTTAAAATCACCAAGAACTACTAACTAAGTGGTCCCTATCCGAAAGTCTTTTAGAGACCAACTGAATAGCGGAAAGATGGTTTCAATAAATAGGAAGTTCCGACAATGGATGAAAGATGAAACTGTCTCGTTGGTGGTATTGCCATAAGGGGTTTTTTCAAGGTAAGCTGATTATCCGCCTTACCAATTTCGGCCGGTAGTCCGGGCCTGACACCCTGGTAGGGAACTGGGGCTCTGAGAGGACAACTGTTGGGACCCTCCAGTGGACAAAACGGATATGGGCAACACCGGGGGCACGGTCTCACCCGCGACACCTTCGGATAACGAATATTTTCTAGCCCTCTATCTCAGGATTCTTGAGATTTGTCCTGAGGTCGAAGGCTATGTCGAGGAAGGCTGCTGTTAGGAGCCTGCCGCGCTGGTTGGGATCCGCTTAGATGCTGCACACCAGTTGATCTTCGTGTGCCCACGCGTTGTCTCAATCGGGCATTTTCCCTTACTACATTTCGTCTCTCCTCGCTTAAGTTCTGTGAATACACTTGTTGCTGGATTGCATGCCTTGTGCGGAGACCGATGTTCACACGTCGTGCTATAGGCATTTTCGACTATAGGCAGAGCGGTTAATTTAACCTCTAATCCACATAATTTACACAGTTCAACTTACCACCCTAAATACAAATGCTGGTTTCCAATTGCACTGATATGAAACGAATAACTTATTTTACTCAAAAATGAACACAATTTCGATTTGTCATAAAATAAACTGAGTAGAGAATTATGGCATGCTATGTGTCAGTGTTGGCGCTTTATGCAAAAATGATTTTCCCGCTTTCTGTTGCAATTTTTCCTGAATTTTCTTTACTGCATAAAATCACAAATTCCGAGACCTTTCCAACGAATGCAAAACCGTGGAAATATGTTCGTACGTTCTGGAGTTATTTGATCCCCGCAGAAAACTCGACTTATTTTTATATAATAGATTAGACAAGTTTATTTTGATTTTAATAAATATTATAAACAAAAGAGAGTGCCTTTCTCATTCTCGTAAAATTTAGTTACTTCAATACATAATCGTTTTCAATTGACTCGGTTCTCAATATCATTAGCTTGAATGGGCCTGTAATAAGAGCCTGCAATAAATGGGTAATTAAAAAAGATTAAAAATAAAGAAATATTTACTATTTTCTTATATCCAACATACCTGTTGCTCAGGGGTTATTGGTTCAGTTATCTTTAGGCAGATTTCCAGCTCATCCTGCTTGTCGGAATCTCTATGTTCCATTACTGCTCTCTGAAGACTCTCAACCAACGACTGGTTTATTTCGTCGATGGGAACCTTGATTTTAAATGTACCCAGCTTTTTGCATTTAATTAGGATAGGCACCAAGCTTGAGAGTATTTCCTGTGCCTCATGCTCAGAAAGCACATCAATTTCTTCCAAATCTTTCAGTTGGGCCAGTCGCTTAATAAATTGCAGTTCCTGAAACCCACACGAGACTTTCCGCAGGCTACTCAAAAAAGTCAAGGCCACAACCAATGATTCGTTGAGGTAATGACTTTTGGGGAGTTCAAATAGTGTGTTGGGTATTTGAATAAAAATTTCCTGCAGCGAGTTTCTGTGATATTTTATTAGACTTTCCATAAAGCGGAAGCTTGGCAGTTCCAAAGAGACCAATTTGAAAGAGCGTAGATCTCTGACCAGTGGGAGTGGTATTTCTTCCTTTAAGCAGTCATTGTCGTATAACATTTTTAAGTCTCGCAAATCGTGCTGCAGACTAATATCGCAAGCACCTTTGATTTGAACACCCAGCTCCAAGAACAAGTGGAGGTCTCTGTTTATCTCCAGAAATAAGGCATCAGACAACCAGAGAGACTTTAAGTTCTCCAGCCTTAGAAGAGGATCTAATCTCACATTTCTAAAAAGTACAGCCTTATTAGTTTCAATAACAAGGTGGCCTCGGTGATTTAAGGACATTTTGGTACAAAAATTCGACACAGTAATGTGTTTTCTTAGAAGATCTGCCGCATTATCTGTGATTATATGATCCCTGCTGCGTATGGTCAGTCGGTTGAGCGTTGGGTGTCCTTTCAGGTGCTCTATGCTTTTGGCATCGTAAAAGCCGCACTCCAACAATCTTAAGCCCCTAAGCTGGGCAATAGCCTGGACGACAGTGTCATTAACCTTGAACATTAGCCTGAGTTGAACTAACTTTGATTTTTTCCTTTCCGAAAGAGCCTGGATGAGTAGGAGTAGAGGAGTACTGTTCTCTAGGTTGGAGTCTTCCTCAAGTTCCTCAAGGCCCAATCGAGCAATGTTTTCGACATTATGGTCTTCATCCCAGCCAAAGTCCATTTTCTGATCCAACTGTTTGGCAATTTCCAGATGCTGCAGCTTATCCAGGAGCGCCAGATTCACGTATTCCCTATCCCGGGCGTTATCGCTGATCACGAACTTCAGTTTCTTCAGTGCTGGACAGTGACCAACGATTTGGCTTAGCTGTCCCTGATCGGAGAAGCAAAAAGCATTTATTTCCAGGGTAACTAGCGAGGGATTCCTGGCACAAAACTCCTTTAGATCCGAGATGGAAAACGATGCGGTTAGACTTAGCTTGCTAATACGAGTATTTGCAAGAGCACTGAGATTGTTCATCGAATGATCTGCAATGTGAAGAAACTTTAGATCCACTAAACGCTTACTTGGACTGAACCGAGCTTGCCTGCTATATTCACTGTGATCTCCTTGACTTTCGGAAGCCGATCTTTATCCTGCACTACTCGCTTAGATTGACCGCAAATGGCCAGGATGATTTCATCGAACATATACTGATGGTAACTGAAATACGAGCCAGATGTGTGCCTGAGCTCAAAGGTTTTTAGCAGGGGGTTCTTTAGCATGGCTCTGATATAAATGTCAAGGTAGGCATCAACTTTTTTCACTGTGGCTCTTTTTAGGGATTTGTGTATTTCATCAAACTTGACAATCAGGTGGCTGTGTGGCACCTCCTGGAGCAGATCAATCTCCAGCTCATCATACATCGATTTCGACCAGGACCTAACAATGCGACGAAGTCCTCTGCAGGAGCCGGCGAAATTGAAGATGTCAGCATATTTAATGGCGTCCAAGGGTTCATTTTTGTTTCTCTTTTCGCAGTCCACCTTTAAATAGTCCAGAATGCGAAACAGGTCGAAGTGAGTGATATCTGTGAGGCCCGTCATATATTATATAGTACGTGCTGGTATAATCTGGCTAGACACGTCCGATTTGCAGTGAGATCACCGTATACTGCCTCTACGGCTCTGAGAGGCTTTGCTGAACGGGCAATAAAATAGTTCCCTATAATTTTAGGGTATATTGGTTTAGCGAAATTAATGTCTTAAGATTAAATATAAGATTTTATGATTTATGAAAGCCACAATACATGATAGTTTCCCGATAATTTTTAGATATATTTAAGTAAAAAAAGAGGAACCTCTGCTATTCGATCAAGTTTTTGGTTTTGTAGCTTGTTACTCATTATCAGATACATTATCAGCAAACGAAGAAGCTTTTCGCAGTCGTATATTATTGTATATATGCATAGTATTGTATTAGGGTGGACTTGACAAGGTTAAAATTGGAAAGCTAATAATATATAGTAAATTTTTGATTAGACTTTCTGGTCCACCCAAATGAATGTGTTTGCAAAAAGAAAGAAAGAAATTGAACAACGTATTCATAAAAAAATAATTAAATCGAATTATTTATGTTTGTTCTTCATATCTTTAGATTGCCATATATTTTTATATATTTTTATATCTTTATATTTGTATATATTTATATTTGGCACACTCAGGCCGTTCTAAGACATCAATCCATAAGTGAAGCAAACTGAAGTAGAGAGTTATTTAATTATAAAAATTAAAGTTACGCTACACTCGTTATGCTTAGCCGGACATCATTAGAGGCAAGTAGAAGGACTTTTGATCTCGGCGGCGTCTTTTGAACGGAAACTTAAAGCGCAGTTTAAGTTTCTTTTAAAGTAGTTGCCGCGGCAAAGTGAAACTGGCAGCTGCACTTAATTTGCCGTCAGCTCATTTGTTTTGCCAGCCCTCCGGCAGTTAAACCAGCCCCAGGAGCGTGCATTTTTCTCCACCCTTTTGCCTTCCTCATCGCCCTTCCCTACCCCATTCTCCCCATATCCCTTACATCTCTATCTTATGCCATGCGGTTAGCTTGGAATATGGTAGAATATAAAAAAAAAATGATGGGAAAACTTTAGAAGCCGTTACTTCTTGTTGTCCCATCGCCCAAGGAAATCCGACGGCCCCCCCGCAGCGCCATAGTGTTGCGGTGGGTGCGTGTAATCTACTCAAAGCAAATAAATTTTTAATGCTGACTAATGTAGAAAATGTGAGCAGAAATTTACCTGGCAAACTCTAAGAGACCGTGGCTTCATCTTTCCAGCCAGCCTTAGTCCTTCCTCCTTCGTCCTTCGTAATTTGCAACAGGATTGTACAAATTGAAAAGGAAGCCAGCCCTGCCGCCTGCATATTTACGCGAAGCCAAGAAATCATCCTTTAGACTGCTGCCAGTGTGTTCAGTGTCGGTTCATTTGTTATCCCGACAGTTTAAGAATGCATTAAGGAATGCAGTTAACCCCATTGTGAATGCAGAAACTTGTCAACATTTTGAGGCATCGATTGCACTGGCAATTATGTCAGGCAACAAAGCGCAACAAATTGGCGAAAATGGCAAGTCATTAAAAATAATTTAAAGCAAACATCAGGGAAAAGTTTTTGACCAAAAAACTTGAAGACATTTTAAATGCGAATATAACTGAGACAAAGGCAGGGCGAGGGAGGAGATGCTGGCTGACTGCTGAAAATTGCAAGGCAGCAGCAGCAGCAACAAATTGGCAAAAGTCATAACGAGGCAAACAGGTCATGAGCGTGCTAAGGGGGGTAGGATACTGAAAAAAAAAAAACTATTTTTGGTAAGAAATCCAGATTTTAAAATTATTTAATGCAGAATTTAAAAGAAATTATTTAATACTCGAGGGATTTTTAGAAAATTACATCTGTTATTTAACTCAAAAGTATATTTAAATTAACTTTGATTGCAATAAAGGATTAAAACTAAGACGAGGATGACCTCTTAGTTTTCAGCCTCCTTTAAAATAGTTCAAACTACGCTCCTGGCCAAAAGTGGGCAAACTGGCCCCCGCAAATGCCTCGCAACAGTCGCAAGTGACAACGAGAACGCCAACGAGCTAAGGACGCCCAAAGGATGCTGGTGTTGCTGTTGCTCCTTCTGCTGTTGCTTCTGTTTGCCGTTGTTTTAGTTGGTAATGAAAGCGACTGATGTCCAGAGGGCGAGATGGGGGGGAGTGGGTCGGAAACTGGCCAAACATTAACGAGCATCAGCGAAAAACTTGCAACTTGCCGACGACGAACTGAATCAAGTTCTGATGCCGAAAGAAGGGGCAGCGATGCATTGTTTGCAAAATGCTCCGAGTAAATTATGCAGAATTGCTGCAGAGCAGCCAAAGCCGAAGCAAAAGTTAAGCGCCCAACAAAACGGAATTTTACGTTGCGCCGATGATGTCTTTGTTGCCATTGTGTGCGTCGCTGTGTTCGTATTTGTGGGGGTTTTTAATAAACTTAATAACTTTGCAATTTGTTGCTGCAATCAGCGCTTGGAGCCAGCTGTTTCCCATCATGCAAATGGCCCTAGGAGCTCGGACACTGCGCTCCGCCAAGGCGAAGGCGAAGCTGTCCGAAGTTGCCCGTGGCAACACATGGCGTATACTTAATTTACAGGCGCATTATGCAGGCGGCACGTGCCAATTAATAAAATAAATTCCTCAACAAGGCAGCAAACTCGTAAATTCCGTAAGGGCAGCGTATTTTCCAATTCCTTTTAATTCAGTTAAAAGGTTGTGGCCATACGGAAAATGATCCCTGCGGTAAACTGCGTCTCCAGACTCTTTAAAAATGCATGTCCAGTCCCATATCAACCGCCGAACGCTGAATCGATCCTTCAGAGCACGAATCTGGTGTTTGTGCGGGGCGCAGGGAGCTGAATAAACAAACATCTGTGGCAAGTGAGGTTAGGACACAAATTGAATTTGCGCCCTAAAAGAGCATAACAAATAGACGACACGCATTCGCCGTGTTGTACGCAAAGCCACAAAACCCACATGCATGTCACGGGATAACCAAGAAACTGGGCAGTACAAAAAATCAGTCAGCCGTCGACGCCCACTGATCCAATCGCTCACGAGTAGAGGTAACCTGAGTGGGTATTTTAAATAATTTTTTAATAATAAAAAAATAGAATTTCCCCTTAATATTTCCCTGTATTCCATATAAATTAATACCAATTCTTTAATATTAATTTATCAAATAAACAAGAGCTATGATTATGACAATCTTTAACATAATTTTATGTTTTAAAAATTAAACCTTAATTATTTGGCCAAAACAATCTCTTTTTGAATTAATTTTAGCTATACCCTTGCTGTACCTTTTTCAGTTACAAAAACCCAGTACCTTTCCCATCACTGTTCCCCCGATGGGAGGCCTGGGGCGCTTAGATATTTTTGGCATGCGTTGCGAGTCCCAACGAAGGGCACAAAAACAAGTCCGCAACATGGACGCAGCTGCCTACGCGTCGGCGGCCAAATCCCGACTCAAACGCTCCCACACATAGCGACATCATCATCATCGTCACCGCCAGCAAGCATCATCATCATGGCGTCTGGATAATGGCTGTCCCGGAGTTGACAGTTAACAGTTGCCGAGCCGGCCAGCGGCAGGTAAATAAATCAAACAAAAAATTGAGACTTTCGGCTACGTGACTGGCAAATGGGAGTCGCCTGGAAGTCTGACTCTCTATACGGAGCGCCGAAAGTCACGGAGGCTCAATAGCTTGACTGATTATCGTTGTCCAGCTGCTGTATAGATAGGTATATGTCTCGGAGTAGGATTTGGTCGCAGCTCATGCCGCTGAGTTGTGCGTGACACAAATTGCTGGCCGGGACAGAAACAGAAACAGGACAACGCCAAACAGAAGCAGAAACAGCACCTCTGACACACAGGCAGGCAGTGTGCTGACAAATGCTTCCTGGAAGATGTCTGTCGATGTCCATCAATGGCCTGAATGGAGGCGGAACAGCTGGGCAGTAGCAGCAGCAGCAACAGTTAAGTCGATTTTGACACATGAAGCACTGTTCGTTTGGCAGAAATCAATAATGTCTAGTGAAGAGTCCTTCGAAAGGCAGGCGATGTCAGGCGAAGGATTGATAAGGTATGTCTGCAAAGGGAATAATTTGTCGCCTGAAAGGAAAGCAGAATATGGGAATGTTTTGCGAACGAAAGGGGAAAGCTTCATTTGTAAAAGATTGAATATTATTGAGAGAATTTAATAAATTAATTTAAGACACCTTTTTAAATTAGGGAGAATATAATATATAAGTAACGCTCTGGGTAGTAAAACCCTTTTACTCTTTATATTTCCCCACAACTTTCATTTTTTACCTCCATTTTACACTACCATTAAAACCACTTAAAGCCTGCACAGTAAGTGCAGTCAGGCGAATGCCATAAAATAGAATACCTCGCTGAATTTTTGAATGATGTTTATTATTTATGCCACTGCGGTCCCCTTGTTTACGTGACCTCACCTGACCCACTGAGCCCGATGGCCCTGCCTGCGGAACTGGGACTCCATCTGCAAAAGCCAGTGGCCAGCGGACAGTGGCCAGTAGTGGCACACAATTGAATATATTATGGAATATATATTGCGGCATATATTAGACTACCATTTGGATTGCGGTCCGTGGTCCATGCAGCATTGTCCGTGCGTGCTGAAAACTGTTTGCTTTATGGTGATCATTCAATTTGAATTAATTTGCGGCTGTCATGCCAACCTTAAATTAGTTTGCAGCGATTTGCATAAACACAAGTGGAAGCTTGACGTGATTTTGATTGGACTGCCTGCCGCCCAGCAGGAGCAAGTTAGCACAGCTTATTAGCTAAGCAAGACAGAAATTTCCTTCTCTGCGCATAATTCTTCCCACTTTGTAATTAAATTAAATGTTTTCTTTTTTTCCCTCCCTCCCTCTTTTTATCTCCATTTACGAAGTCCTCAATTTGACTGGAAAGTAACGTCAGTTAGCGAGGAGAGACGGAAAGTGAACAGCAGCTGTCCGAGCCTGAAAGCCGTTGAGGTTTTGTGGCTTTTTGGCCAAGAGCAAGGCAAGAACACAGCAGCTGGAAAAAAGGAAAAATAAATGTTTTGCCACTCTGCTTTTCACGACTAATTCGGTTTTTGTTTATCTCCACACT